AGTAGCAGATGCAGCACACTGCTATTCTGTCGCCGCGCCCCGCCCTTCCAGGCGGCGTTCTTCCCGCCACACTCCGGTGTATGTACACCCCGGGGTGTGGCTAAGAAGAGCCCAGTGTGCGTGCCCGCACTTTCGGAGGGTATGTCCTCTGAGGAAAATCCATTATATACATGCACATATATGTATACTCCGTATCCATGCGTATTTTGCGACGTCGCAGGCATTTGTCTCCTGGCGTTTGCAAAGAGCGAAGCCTTTAGGGTCTTTTGCGTTGCGAATTTGATTGTTGTTGGCGCTGCAGTCGCAGCCAGCTGCTGCTGTGCGCCGCTGTTGCTGCTCTATGTACAGCCACTGATGCCGCAACCGCGACGCAGCAAGCCCCAATACTTTAGAGGGCCTTTAGGGGGCCCCCTGGGGGGCCCCTAAAGGATTAATTGGGGCCCTGGGAGCTTTACTAGTTTTAGGCATCCCAGCAGGGCGCGCCTGCCTCTTTTTTGCTATGGCGCCGCGTCTCCTTTTACATTCGGGCTTTTAATCCCTTTTGCCTATAGTTAAAAAAATGTAAAAAAGCGAGCCTTCCCTAGCGCTATCTTGCGGGCACCCTGCCTTCCCCACCTGCGCCCCTGTCGAGCAAAAGACTCGCTTCCGACAGCGACGCTGCCGCGTGGCAGCTCTACGGCAAAAAGATTAGATTTCAGGTTCATAGCGTGGTTTGCTACAGCATCAGGTCGATCCCCTCATGCTGCTTCTTTGCGCTCGCGGCTGCTGAAACGAACACACAGAAACCCTCGAAGCCACACACTTTCGCCTCCGTTCAGTCACAAACAAACACAGCAGCCGCCTCGAATGCAGGCACAGCGGCAGCTCGCTTACCTGCGGGAGGCGGCTCGTCAAAGAAAAGCATGTCTGGCTGGGAGGGAGATACGCCCCATCCTCCTGAGGAGGCGACTGGTTGTCGCTGCTGCTGCTGCTCGTGCGTTGCCCAGTAGTCGTCTATCTTCCCGTTGTTGCTGCTGCTGCTGTTGGAGGATGCGGAGGGAGCAGGCGAGAGCCGAACAGGAGCAGCGGCAGCAGTGGCGGGGGATGCGGGGGGTGTTGCTGCTGAGGTTGCTGCTGCTGCAGGGTCGTTCGTCCACGACAAGCGAACGGCCTGCACAACAAGAACGCATCATGTTTTGTTTCAACCGGAAGTTTTACCAGAAACACATTCGCAGTCCTCCATGCAGGTGGGCAGCTTGCTGGGCAGTGGCGCTTGAAACAAGAGCCACAGAAAACGCACATACACAGTGGCATCACTTTAGACACACAAAAAAGGTGTTGTGTTGGCAACAGAAGTTTTAGGAGTTATCCTAGTGTTGAGCGTGTTAGTAATAGGAGTAATACTAGTGTTGGGCGCGTTAGTAACAGGAGTGATACTAGTGTTGAGCGTGCTAGTAATAGGAGTAAGTGGAGGAGGCGTGAAAGGGTTCTCCGTGCCAGTGTGCGTGGAATGATGCGAGGTGGTCGCTCAGCAAACAACCGTACGACAATTCATCGACTGCTGGAATCGTGTAGAGGGAGGAAGAAGGGGGAGAAGGACAGAAGGGATATGCAGGGATCAGTCACCCTCTGTTGTGCACCCATTCCTACCTTGAAGAAAAGCGTCATCCCCTTGGAAGCCTCCAGAGGAAGTGCCTCATCGTCTGACAGGTCGAGCCACACGTATGTTCCCTTCTCGTCCTTCGACGTATTGCCGCTCAGCTGGCGGCTTTCTGTACGTAGCCTAAGAGCAGCCATAGAACAGATAGATAGAAAGATAAAGAGAAAAGAACAAGAAGGAGAAGGCGAGACTGGCATGAAGAGTCAAACAACCCTAGGGGGAGGGATGACCACATTAACGAGAATAGCTAAGGCGTTGGGTTCTTGCGCAGGGGGCACTCCAGTGCCTCTAGAGGGAGGGGAAGTGGGGATTGGGCTGAAAATCCTTACCTGAAGTGGTATTTGCCTGGGAGGGGGAACTGTGTTTTGATGTCTTTTAGGGTTGGAAGGCCCCCCTTGTTTGCGCGCAAGAAGAAGCAGTTGGGGGCGGCTGGATCGTCACCGTCATTCGTGACAATGTACAAGACCAGGATCTGGCTCATTGTAGCGAGAAGAAGAAGGTGGCGCAAGGTGGTGAGTACAAAACACCTTATGGCCGCAAGGGGGCTGCAGGAAGTGGCTATTTAGAGGGTCGTCCGTACAGCACGCATGAGGCGGCCGGAAAGCTGCGCTGGTTGCGGAGCTGAGTGCAGAGAATGTCGAGCCGAAAATAAAAACACCCCCGCCTCCTCCCTGGATAAGATACACAGCCCACGCCTCCTCTTTGGGCGCCTTCTAATCGGGTGCTCTCAACGAAACTGTATTCTAAAACGACCAGAGGCAAGCCGAAGAGAAATCACATGCGCACAGTGGCGCGGGAAGCTTATGGCTTCGCTGTCTAGTGGTCTTGCAGTTGGTGCTGCACGTGGCCAGTTCAAAATCCGTTGCGGGTCGGGCTAAGACTGCACGAGTTGATGCTGCAAATGGCCCCCTCGTGCGCGCCTGTCTATGACTTCCTGATTGTTCAAAGCAAAATAGCGATGAGTCTTCATGAGCAACGAGAAACGGCTGCAGATCGGATAGGAGAGTTGCGATGGACGAAGGGCTTTCGCTGCCGAGGCGTTCCACGGGCAGCTGGACACTTAGGCATGAAGGAAGCTATATTCTGGTCATGCGGTTTCCTGAGAAATGAGGAGAAAGCAAAAAAGGAAGCCTTGAAAGGAGAGTCATTGGATGCATGCGTATCCACAAGCTGCACAGAGAAGACATGCGTGCTCTGCGAGATGCGAACGCCGGCAAGGCAAGCTGCGGCACAAAGCCTCCGACTTCCCCGTTTCAATACTTCACAGAAATAGCAACAGAGCTTAATATGCTTTTACGGCGGAACCCTCTCCCCGCCGAGACTTATCAAGGTGAATGACAATAAACACACAAGACCGCCGAAGTCGGATGCAATGTAACAAGCAACGTTGCCACCTGGCCGCCGGCGCTCGTTGACTCAGGTCTACCTCCACACAGACTCTCCACTGCGTAGCCATTAGGTGGAAAAGAAAACCTCTCTCTTTAAGCGTGCGAACACTGCTTTTCGCTCCCCCAGTCATGCAGGTTTTTTGGACCCTCTGTTGGCGGTCCCATTGCGGCCGAAGTGCGCAGGGTTTAGCAGCCAACCTTGCTGCTTTTTTTGTGGTGATTCGAAACGTGGGAGGACGAGGAGAACTGCAAGCACATTAGAGGGTAGATAGCCCGTAGGAGATGTATGCCCTGCCTCACATATGCCCGAACAGTTACGGCTTGACGTATGTACTGCACGTAGCTTCGCAGCTCTGTGTCTCTCCTCTGAAGAACTTGGCGTACCTGGGCGCCTTACATTCCTTGCACCCGTGACAAATCCGCGTCTAATTCCCCCTACTTTGACGGATTTTCCTGCTGTTCAGCTTTCATGCTGCACTGAGAAGGTAAAAGAGCACTCGCGGTGTTTCGCTCTTGGGGTCCGCACGCGCAGAGAAAGCCGCAACTTGGGGAGTAGAGGGATGCACAGTGACACACCAGTGGCGGCTCCCCTCTCGAGTCTCACGCTGTGGCTGCCGTGGCAGCGAAGGATTCAGATCTGCTGTGCAGGGGCTTTAACGTAGGCTGGTATCTGGATTACGAGCAACTGGCCGCTTGCTGTCATTCAATGTACAATAATCTCGGGAAAGGGGATGGTAGTCTCCGTGCTCTGCGTGCATGCGGAGCCGGTTAACACACCTAATTCTTGCTAAACTACATATGTATGCATGCTTCCTTGGTGTGTCTAGCTGCGCGCTGAGCCTTTTGTTTCTCTTGGTGGGCATGAACACGCCATCCTAATGGTGTGCCTGCCTACATGAGAAGTGTTGTGTGCTCTGACTGACCGCTGTATGTTGGCGGTCGTTACGTACAACTCCTCTAGAAGGAAAAAAATCTCTGCGCGTCAGCACATGGGCAGACGCCAGGAACGTGTTCTCCGTTTGTGAATGGTACAAATGCCAAAGTAGCTTTGAAGCGAGAGAGTAGAACGCGCGGCGGGAGGGGTGTAGAGGGAGGGCAAGGAAGAGGCACCAGCAATAGGGGATACTACATGGAGAGCAACTTAATAACGGATTTGCCTTCTCATGTATCGCGCAAACGTTCTTTCTCTCTCCTTTTCACGCTAGAGACCCCCTCCCGATATTTATGTGTTGTTAGCCCTTTTCCCCTCATTATGCTCGCTCTCGAAATCCCCTTAGCCTCGCCTCGACACTTCAGAAACAGGCGCAAGAAAAGGACCAGCGCCGGCAAGACACCGTCAAATGCTGCCAATCAGCCCACTGCTTGTGTCGCATGCCCTCCATTGCTACGTTTTGCTATTGCTGCCTCTCGAAGCAGGCATGGCAGTTTGTTGCTGCTGCTCTCCCTCCTCCGCGTGGCAGCGATTCTTGAACTTACACTCTCCGCCGCACCCCGCCGAAGCGTCCTGAGGCAAAAGGGCCCCTTGCGGCTCCCATGCAGCAAAAAAATACAGTAAAATACGGAAACTTGAATGCTCCTGCTCCTTTTTTTTGTCTCCTCCCTGCCCTCTTCGACTCAGAAAAACGCCTCCTAACTCCCTCTCCCCCACGACCGCCCCGTGGCAAGCAAGCGAAACGGAGGCATGCAGTGCCGTCTCTCGCCATCTCCGCATGTATGACAAGCTCTCCGAAAGACTCATTCCTTAAAAAACAAAGAAGCTCGTTTTACGCAACCTACCCAAATACACCACGCGTCCGGAGGGCTCCTTATCCTCCTGCCACACGGGATAATCTATGCGTATATATCTATACACATACAAGTATGTGGATATACATGTATACACATGTATATGTACACATATGGATGCACATATATACGGAGTCTACGACCCCCCCCCTCTCCCTATCGAGAGCAGCGGTCGAAGAGGAGTTCCCCTACCAACAAAATTTATCCCTGCCCTGTTTGCACCGCATATTCAGCTTTTCCTCGGCAGAGAGCTCCTCTTTGAGTTTTACTTGTTTCACGGTGTATCCCCACATGCCCTTCTTCTCGCGCACCGACACGATGCGGCTGCCCTTTTTGATCTTTTTATTGAGGGCCTCTGCAGCAGCGGCAGCCGCTGCAGCAGCTGCGTCATGAGCACCGTCTTCTTGTTCGCCTCGAGCCTCTCGACTTCGCTTCCTTGCAGCAGCAGCAGCGGCGCGTGCTCGAACTGCTGCGGCTGTCTTCTTCACTGCAAAAGTTGTGGTCGAAATAAAATCCTTGCTGAAGCCCGGGTGTATATGCAGCGTCCTGTCCGTGTTCACAGACACCACCAAGGCCTCTTCTGGAAGGAGCGTTGCAGGATGCAACAGACTTAAAGTGTCGCCCTCCTCGATCTCATGACGAAACTTCGTATGAAAGCCTTGCACAGTATCGCCAGTCGCAACAATCCGTCCTGTACCTTCGATCACCTCAGCCTCGCCGACAGGAAGAACCCCCTCTTCGCTGCGTATTCCGCCTGCTGTGTCAACTTCTGCAGCTGCCGCCGGTTCCCCAGAGGTTGACGGCAGTTCTCCAGACAAAAACACCTCCCGCTCCCGCCTCTTTCGCTCCTTCTTCTTGAGCTTCTTCAGATCTCCTCCCTTTCCCTTCAGCCGCAAGCTCCCTGAAGACACTCGCGTGTAGGCCTCCATTCTCCGGCGGAGGGGGAAGAAGGAGAGGGGGTTGCCAACGCGTACATTCAGCGAGCACAGCAAGACGCTGCTGCTGCGCTTTCTGCGCAAGTGGGCGCTGCCAAGCGGCCACTTGCCTCGGCGGGAAAGAACAGAGAACGGCTAGCTGCACGAAAAAACGCTCAGAGCACTAGCAACCCGCACGCTACGGGTGCTGCGGATACGACCAGTTCTAGAGGTCTCAAGACAGCCGGAGAGAGGAATCTCCCCTCCCCCTCCCTCCCTACTGCCGTTTCTAGACACGCCGACACACAGATCTCAGCTGCAGCAGCAGTTCCAGCATGGATGCACTGCTGCGTTCAAGTGCTCCTCATGAAGGATTGCGTGCCCAGCAGCCTCTTCTCAGACGAGCAAAGAAAGCAGCGGCAATAATCATAGAGACCGCCCAGATTGGCGAAGGCAGGACAAAGATTGATTAATATGAATTTTAAAGACGAAATTTGGAGAAATAAAGGGAAAAGGACTCATGACCATTCACAGGGAGACCACGTGCGACGGAGTGTACAGACGGGGCTGTGTAGTTACTGGGCATGAGAGCGCCACGTCGCGAGGAGCGGTGGAACCATGGCCGCTTGTGGAGCATCAGCAGCAGCAATTGCATCTTTGTCAACACCCCGTTCTTGTCTGCAGCTGTGCGCAGTCCCTCAGTCTCAGTAGTTGTCTTCTACCCCGTTTGCCGTTTCCTCCACGGCACACGTGAGCTGCTGCTCCTGCTGCGCAGTAGGAGCAGCAGCAGCAGCCTCTGCCGCGCATGCATTGCGTGTCTGCTTTGACGACGCGCGGAATTCGAGAACAAGAGCCAGCAGTGGAACGGGAAGGGCAGTCTCCCGCACAGAAAAGTTTCAGCAGCAACTTGGGAGCAGCAGCCAGCGTGAAGGGGATGGAAGAAGGGATAGTAGCTCCCGGAAAGGGCTCCTCGGGAGATTGGAGCTCTAAGCTTCTGGCCCTTAAGGCGCGCATGAAGAAGGCTGGTTTGACGGGAGCAACCACTGGAGATGGGGGTGTGCTAGGCGGAGGAGGAGCTTCAAGTTCCCCCTCCATTCCGACCTCAGCCTCTGCTGCTGCTGCTGTCATGACACCCGGCGCGCCCTCTGCGGCTGCTGCCGCAGGGGGTCTAACCAGAGACGGCCGTCTTAAACCCCCTCCGCTCCAGCGTCGACAGGTGCAGCAGCAGCTGCCTTCTCAAGCGCACCCTCTTCAGTCTCTGCCTCAGCAACGCACCACTGCACAGGCGAAGAAAGGCGTCGTGAGCACACAGGGACGGCTGCTGCTAGTGCAGCAGCTCCATCATGCGCTGCAGCAGCAGCAGCAACAACAACAGCTCCCTGCAGCAGCAGCGTCCCTGCAGCAGCAGCAGCAGCAGCAGCAGCAGCCTCCACAGCGAGCAGTCATTCCCCGCGTATCCTCAACACCCCTCGGAAGAGCTGCATCTCCCGCTTTTGATCTTCTCGCCGCCACAGCAGCAGCCGCTGCCCCCGCTGCCTGCTCTTTGGTGACGACGACCAATGCAGCGACTGCTGCTGTAGCGGCTGCAGCAGCATCGCCGAGCTATGCTGCTCCTGCTGCTGCTTCCGCGGCAGCAGCAGCAGCAGGAGCGGCAGCAGCAGCAGCGGCTCCCGCAACGTCGCAGTCTTCTGCTGCCGCAGGCAGCAGAGACTTCGACGCTCCCATGTCATTCGAAGAACTGATGCGGAGGAAGAGAGAGAAGGAGCAGCAGCAGCTGCAGCAGCAGGAAGGAGGATCAGCCTCTCAGCGATATTCAGACGCAAAAAGCAGTCCAGTAGCTTCATCGTCAGCCTCTGCAGCACAAGTGGCCTCAGCCGAAGGCACCCCTCGACGACAGCACCCCCCACTGCAGCAGCAGCAGCAGCAGCAGCAGCAGCAGCAGCAGCAGAAGCCTCTAACTACCACGAGAACATCCGTGGGCTCCACTTCGTGCGGTGTATCGCCTGCTGCAGCATCTCCCCCAACGATCTCGACAGCAACGTCAGTGCCAAAGAATGCCGCCTATGGCAAGGCTGCGTCTCTGCAGCAGCAACTTGCACGCCCTGTAGCGCACATACAGCAGCAGCAGCAGCAGCAGCAGCAAAAAGCTCCGATCAGCGTTGCTCCCACCCCAGCTGTCGCAAAGGCAGTTCCCGGATTGCCACGGATGCAGCATTTTTCACCCACTGTGTTGCAGCAAACACGAGCAACAGCGGGAGGGGAGCCAGCTGCTGCCTTCAAGGCTGTTGCAGCAGCAGCAGCAACAGCAAAAAAGCCAGCTGTCGTGCCCTCGTCAGTGCCGCGCGTAGCGCACTCAGCTCCTGCAGCACCCCCGGCTGCAGATTTTGCAGCGGCATCATCAAGGCAGCAGCAGCAGCAGCAAGCAAAGCAGCAGCAGCAGCAAGCAAAGCAGCAGCAGCAGCCGAAGCAGCAACAGCAGCAACCAAAGCAGCAGGCAGCTCCGTTTTCAGTAGGACTGTCTGCTCCTTCCCTGCCAAATGTGAAAGCTCTACTCCCCGGAGCAGCTGTCAAGCAGCAGCAGCAACAACAACAGCAAAAACAGCCCTCTGTGGCACAGCTAAATAGAGGCGTGCAGCAACAGCAGCCAGCGGCAGCAGCTGCAACAGCTGCAGCACCTGTGCAAGTGCGGCAGCAGCAAGCGCAGCAGCCCACAGCAAAGAGCAACGTGATGCTAAAGCCGCCCTCCGTCGTACAGCAGCAGCAGCAGCTCAAGCAGCAGCAGCAGCAGCAGCAGCAGCAGCTCAAGCAGCAGCCACTGCTCCGTAATAAGGCACCCTTGCAGTCCCAGCCAAAGACACCTGAGGCAGCATTTTCTGCAGTGTCACTACAGCAGCAACACCGTTTGCAGCAGGTGCAACCAAGCACAGCAGCAGTCAAGGGGTCTCCTGCTGCTGCATCCACAACTATTCAAGGGCTTGACTCGACGCTTCAGGATGCGTATGTCTCTTTTTCTTCACATAACTGTCTCCTTTACCTCCCTTTCCCTCCCCTGCCTGCCGCTGCTCTTGAGCGTGCGCATGTGTTTCTGGACGTAGCGAGCAAGCAAGTGCGCGCATCCCATGCTGTGAGCTTTGCGCTGCAGAGTTCAGCAGAAGTTTTGCGATTTTCAAGCTGCTCGCTGTTCAGCGTACACCCCCCTGAAGAGTCCAATGTGGCCTTGTGGGTGTGCCTCAATCGAGGCGCTTTTGAAGCAGGTGCAGCATGTCACGACAGCCGCCGATTCGCGCGCCGCTGCTGCCGCTGCAGCGGCGGCAGCGACTGTAGAAGCCGCTGTGAAGAGTGCGGAGCAGCAGCAGCAGCGCCTCTCGTTGCTGCAGCAGCTGCCGGGGGGGGGGGGACTGGTGCTGGGATCCGCGTTTGCCGCCCTGCTCCCGCTGTTGCGAACAGCGGCAGCGAAGGCAGCAGTGCTTGCGAGAGATCAGCTTTCTTTCGTGGATATCTACGACGAGAGTGCAGCGGAAACTGCAGCTTCTCCTGCCCTCGAAGCACCAACGCCGCAGCAGTTGCTGCAGCTCGCTCCTGCCGCACTCGCCGAGCTGCTCGAAGAACTGGCGCTGCTGCAGCAGCAGCAGCTGACTTCTCTGGATGCGGAGTTTGCAGCCACAACGGGCAAGCGCCTGCTTGTTCCCGACACCGCTGCAGCAGCAGCCCAGCAGCAGCAGCAGCAGCAGCAGCAGCAGCAGCAGCAGCAGTCGGTAGCCAAGAGGCCTCGCCAGGGTTCGTCCCTCGCAGCGGTGTCTCCTGCAGGGGTGTAGAAATCCGAAGGTTTGGTTAGCTGCAAGGATTGCAAAATGCAACACGCCAGACTTGAGGCAGGAGCTGCTGCGTTCGCATGCGGTGCTCCGGTATTTTCCAATTTAAATCTCTTGTAAAAGTGCATCCTTCGTGGCGCGAAACGGACTTAAAGCGTTGAGGCGCGTGCTACAATTAGCAGCCGCAACCCTAGCCAGAGCCTCCCAGCAGAGGCGCCTTCACAGCAGCAACAACTTAGTTTCCCTCCGCTGCTCCCTTGAGTACAGTAGCCAGCAGCGAGAACCACATCACGCGAGACGCAGCCATTGCCGTTACCACCACACCCACCTGCCCACCCAGCCCAGCGCCTCCCTCCCTCAAACACACCCTAACTCGCGCTTCTGCTGCGTCGTCTTCGGAGACTGCCACTAAGGTGTTTTAGGCAGAGAACCATGGCGACTGCACACACTGCTCGAGGGGATGGCTTTTTGCCTGCCTACTTTTTGCCCCTTCGCTATCTCCGCGTGGCTCGCGGTGCTCTCAAACAAACCAGCGACTGCGCTGTCACGGCGGCTTGTCTGCTCCCCAGAGGGGGATGTCGGAAAAACAACCCTACAGACGCACGCGCCTTTTCGTGTGCACTCCAAGGGTACTCAGCAGGGAGGCTCGTTCATGCTGCTGGTGCCGGAAGGAACGGCGCTCGCTGCTGCTGCTGCTGCACTGTGCGTCATGACGGAATGCAGTGTGGGGTGGGCAGCTGGAGGCGCGCAAGGATGACCAACAAGGAGGGGAGTTGTCTGATGAGCGCCTGCATGCGCTGGCAGCAGCCAGGAAGCCCCATGCAGCAGCTGCGGTGTAGGGACACCTGCCGGGTAGCAGAAGCTCGCTGGGTGCTGCTGCTGCAGCAGCAACTGCTGCTGCTGCTGCTGCTGCTGCTGCTGCTGCTGGTGCTGCATCCAGTCAACAGCCCCAAATGGGGAATTTGCATGCTGCGCATTCATGTCGGTGGGGTAGCAGCACATCAGGCGTGGGTGTGCCTCTTTGGAGTGTTTCTGAGCGTGGCGGTTGGGGTGAGGCTGCTTCTGCTGTTGGTGGTGTTGCCGCTGCTGCTGCTGCTGCTGCGCTTCTGCCTGCTGCTGCTGCTGCTGCTGCTGCGCTTCTGCCTGCTGCTGTCGCAAAAGCCTCCGCTGCCGACGGGAGAGCCGCGCAGCAGCGGGGGGATTCATGGTGTGGCTGCAGCGGCAGTTGCTGTTGCTGGTGTGGTTGCATCGGCTGCTCGCTCTGCTGCTGCTGTCGGCGTCAGTCTGTACACCCCGCTTACTGTTGCTGCTCCCCCTCCTGACCAGGCTGGGGGGTGCCTGCGCAGCTGGCACGTAATTCGCTTGCTGCGAGCGCCTGTAAGACACTGCCAAAGGCGGCAATCCTCCTGCCTCTGACGACACCCCCGTTGTTGATGGCCCTTCCACGCTGCATGCGCAGCAGCAGCTGCTGCAGCTGCTGCTGCTGCTGCTGCTGCTGCAGCCACTGCAGCCACTGCTGCTGGGGAAGAGCTGCTGCTCCTGCTGCTGCTCCTGCCGCTGCTCCTGCCGCTGCTCGGGAAGCGCTGCGGGAGAATTATCGAGCTGGGTATGGTTCCAGCCGACGCCTTTGGCTTCTGCGATGATTGCCTGGAGCTGCAGATCGAACGCTTCTTCAGTGCGGCTGCTAACGAATCCGTTGGGCAGTCCAGGGAAGGCTGCCTTCGCACTGCTGCTGCCGTTGCTGCATGCGGTGACACTGCGCAGCAGCAGCGGCTGCTGCTGCTGCTGCAGCAGCAGCAACTCCTGCTGCTGCTGCTCCTGCTGCTGCAGCGCCGCGAGAAAGGCCGTCTGCTGCTGCTGCAACAACAGCGCCTTGGGGTCCGTCGCGTCGGGTTGCCGCAGCTGCTGCTGCGCCTGCTGCAGCTGCTGCTGCGCCTGCTGCAGCTGCAGCAGAAGCATCTGCTGCTGCTGCAGCGCCTTCGGATCCACTTCGTGCCCAGGAGGAACCCTCAGCAACGCCTGCTGCTGCTGCCCTTCTTGAAGCAGCAAAAAGCAGGCGAGTGCAAGATCGTCTGCTGTATCTGGAGGAGTCTGCTGCTGCTGCTGCTGCTGCTGCTGCTGCTGCTGCTGCTGCTGCATCCGCAGCTGCTCTTGATCCTGCGCATGCACATTCCCCCGATGCTGCTGAGCGTTCTGCAGGGTGCGTGCAGCAGCAGCACTGAGAGTTTGCTGCGGCTGGACTGCAGCGGCAGCGGCACTAAGAAAGTGCTGGAGACTCGCTGTGTCGCCTTCGCCTACCGCTGCCGCAGCTGCTGCATTGGCTGCAGCAGCCGCGGCGGCATGCAAAGCAGCCACTCGCAGTAACGAAGCAGTCAAATCTCCTTTGCCTCCTCTCGCACCTGCTGCCACTGCGCCTGCCCCTACACTTCTAGGAGAGCCCGCAATAAAATCCTGAGGGAGACACAGCCGCTGCTGCTGCAGTAGCTGCTGCTGCTGCAGTAGCTGCTGCTGCTGCAGTAGCTGCTGTTGCTGCAGTAGCTGCTGTTGCTGCTGAGCTGCAGTCGCAGAAGATGAAGGTGCTGCTGCTGAAGCAGCAACAACAGCTGCTGCAGCAGCAGCATTTTCATCTGGTGCTACTGGCCTCTTGACTGCTTCATCCGCAGCATTATCCAGTAACTCGAGGGATGTATGCCCACTCTGTGAAAGCAGCAGCAACAGCAGCAGTAACATGCAGCACTCAGCGACCTAGAGGAACCTTTTTCAACGTTCGCAGCAGCAACGCCATGTTTAGATGCATATGCATACATGCATGCATGTATGCAAATGCACTGCCCCCGCTTGCAGCAGTTGCTTCCAGTAGCAGCAGCAGCAAACAACTCAGCTCACGTCTAAGGAGGTATACGTCTTCTGCCCGAAGCAGCGTCTAACAAACGCTGAAAGAGCATCATCCACAGTCAGCTCTGCTGGACGCCTCTGTCGAGCCGCTGCAGCAGCAGCAGATGCAGCAGCAGCACCTGCTCCTACAGGGATCACTGCTGCTGTTGTTGCTGCTGCTGCATCTGCTGTTGCTGCTGGTGTTAATTCTGCTTGTGCTTCCCTCGTTGCTGCTGCATCTGCTGCTGTTGTTTCTGCTGCTGCTGCATCTGCTGCTGTTGTTTCTGCTGCGCTCTGCAAATGGCTACAAGACGCCTTGCGGCGTCTTCCTTCTCGCCTTTCGCTACTGTTGGAAGTGCTTCTGCTGCCGTTGTTGCTGCTCTTACTGCTGCTGTTGTTGCTGTTGCTGCTGCTGCTGTTGTTGCTGCTGCTGCTGCTGCTGTTGCTGCTGCTGCTGCCACTGCAGGAGCCGTCGTTTCTACGGGCAGTCGACGCAGAACACATCCAATCCTCGCCTCCGTGCACTTGGCTGGTGCTGCTTCTGCTGCCGCTGCAAGCTGCTGCGCAGGTGCTGCCTTCCGCCTCGTTCTCCAGCTTCTGCTTGTCTGACTGCTGCAAAATCGGATCGTCGAGAGGAACGATGCTCGTTCGGCACGAAGGGCACCGCATCAGTCCCAAAGTGCTGCTGCTGCTGCTGCTGCTGCTGCTGCTGCTGCTGCTGCTGCTGCTGCTGCTGCTGCTGGCCGCAGCAGCAAGACACGCGAAACAGAACCTGTGACAACATGCTCTAAGCGTTACAGGTTCTTCAATCAAGTCGAGGCAGATCGGGCAGATGTATTTGTCGGGAGATGGAGGAGCTCCTGTCACCTGGTGCAGCAAAGCGTCGCTCAGTGTGTCTAACGAACTCAGAAGGTGTGGCAACGCCAACGACGAATACCAACTCTCTCGCCGCAGCACAGAGGCAGCAGACGAAAAGCAGGCTGTGATGATGTTGCTGCTGCTTGCGCTTGAGCTTGTGCCGCTGCTGCCTGCAGCTGCGGAGAGAAATGCCGTCCCTCCACTGCTCAGCTCCGACCCCTCTGGAGTCGCTAAACTCTCGGCTATCTGCAGAAAGCAGCAGCCATGACACGGATGCGGTGTCTCGGCTGAACATGCTGCCGATGAAGTGGGGCAAAAGGCAGCCGCTGCAGCAGGAAGGCAGGGAGCAGTGCTGGTAGCTGCAACACACGCCGACGCTGCAGTGGCAGAGGAAAGACGAACGGCGGCTGTTGCTGCAGCAGCAGCTGCTGCTGCTGCTGCTGCTCTCGCTGTTGTGCTTGCCATGGAGGCAGCAGCAGGAGCACAGGTGCATAAAAGCTTCTTTCTGCATACACATACACACACAAATCTACACATACACCCCGTCTACATGAACATACACCCCGTCTACATACACATACACCCCGTCTACATACACATACACCCCGTCTACATGAACATACACCCCGTCTACATACACATACACCCCGTCTACATGAACATACACCCCGTCTACATACACATACACATACATCCCGTCTACATAGATATACACCACGGCTCCATACACATACACATACACCCCGTCTCCATACACATACACATACACCCCGTCTACATACACATACACCCCATCTACATGAACATACACCCCGTCTATATAGATATACACCCCGTCTACATACACATATACCCCGTCTACATACACATACACCCCATCTACATGAACATACACCCCGTCTACATGAACATACACCCCATCTACATGAACATACACCCCGTCTACATACACATACACCCCATCTACATGAACATACACCCCGTCTACATACACATGCATCCCGTCTACATACACATACACCACCCCGTCTCCATACACATGAACATACACCCCGTCTACATACACATACACCACCCTGTCTACATACACATGTACACCCCGTCTACATAAACATATACACCCCGTCTACATAAACATACACCCCGTCCACATACGCCGTCGTTTCCCCGTTGCCTCGCTTGCTGCAGCTCGCGTCAATGCGTCGTTTATGTACGAGAAACCAAGTGTTGCTTATTCTTGCCCTCCTCCAACAATATACACCAGAAAGTCTCGAGCAGCGCGCATGCCGCGAGAAATAGCTCTCGAAGCAGCAGTACCAATGACTAGTTACACCGTGTACTACGAGACACAAGACACTACAGACAGACACTACAGACGAAAAAATTCCCCAGAACAGAGGCACCCCCAACGAACCGCTTTTTGATGATTTTGACGATCGCGACAGTATTCCAAATGATGAATTTTCGCAGCTCGCGACAGCCTGTCAAGGTGGCTTGCAAACGGCGGCAAAAGTGTATCAACGAAGACAACGCTGTCGCTGCTGCTCCTGGAGTTGAAACTTCTGCTTGAGCAGCTGAAAACTCCGCTGTCTCCGCTTGCTCTGCAACAGCTCGCGGGAGCACTGAAGAGGCAACTGCAGCTGCACGTACAGCTGCAGTTGCACTTGCAGTTGCCACTGGCTCGACTGCGGCGGAGTCTTGCGCTCTCCTCGCAGGGGCAAGAGTGGTATCTGCCTGCGATGTAGCCACCCTGCCAGCCGCCGATGCAGATCTCTGAACAGGCATTTCTGAATCCAGAGAGGCTTCCGCGGCAAAAAGGCCATCCGACTCAAGAACTGCGAGAGCATCTTCCAAAGAGTTTACGTCCAACAGACGGCTTCGAATTTCCTCAGAAAGCTGCTGCAACGCTGCTTTCCAGCTCCCTTCTACCGGAGATCTCACAGTTCCCCCTTCGCATTCTTGTGCTGCTTCTTGCGCAGTTGCTTCTGCTTTCCAGCATGCTTCTGCACTGCCCCCAACTCTGCCGCTTGGCTGCTGCACTCCCACCTGGCGCTGCTGCGCCTCAAATCCTTGCTGCAGCAGAAGCTGCTGCTGCTGCAGCTGCTGCAACTCGTGCGCATACTCGCCGCGAATCAAAGACAGCTCGCCCTCCAAATCCACGAAAAAGAGACGCAAGAGCTCCACGCAGCCTGCGTAATCGTGAGATCTCAAGAGCGCTGCCGCCGACTTGATACGCCGCTTCAAGAGCTTATAATCTATGAAATGCAGTCTCTGACAGGCACCTGCCTCCTTGCGAATGTTCTTGCCGAACTTCATCCTGGCATCTGCCTGCCTGCCTGCCTGCTGCTGCTGCTGCTAGGAGATGTCGCTGCTGCCCCAGTGCATGCTGCTGCTGGTGCCTCCTTCTCCTGCTGCTGCAGCCGTTCGCTCCACGCTGACTGCGCACTAGTGGATTCGCATTCCACGCAGCCTGCGGTGAGGAGCTCCTGCCATGCAAATGCAACTCTGACTCTATGTTCTACACGCAGCTTCTGAAGCGCAGTCTCCTCGACGACAGGCGTTGACTGCGCCCAGATGATGGGAGGAGGTCAGACAGCATGCGGCTCAGCAGCGCCAGTGCTGCAGCAGAGCGATGCCAGTTTTTGGCTGCCGCTACTGGGGGCTTTCTTGCCTTAGTGTGTCTGCCCTCTGCGAGCCTCTATCTGCAGGTCTCATAGAGATTCAAACTCCAGATCTATTGCTGCAGGAGCGGCTGCGTGTCATGCAAACCCTGTAGCCGGCACATGCACGCCCTAGCGGGCTTATCTGAAATGCTGCCACAGTGCCGCAATGCCGCCGCAAGCGAGGCTGTTTCAACGCTTTCACCAACAGTGCCAGTATTGGGAAGGCTGCACAAATTCCGCTCGGCTGCTGCGGGGAGGGTGTCGATTACAACAGTGGTCATCGACGCTTCCCGCGTTGCTGTGGCATCTCAGCAGTGTATACAGCAGAACCGGCGCCACTACACGACGACATAAACACACGGAGCTTCCTGAAATTGTCGTTCACAAAGACAAACAAAAGGCTTTTCCTCCTCCCAGCACCCGCACAAGCAGCAGCAACGGAAGCGGCGTCATGGAGTCCGCATTGCGCCTACCCACTGTACAGACGCCTCTCATGACACGACGACGGTCTGCTTCCTTTCCCGAGCTGAACATAGGGAATATCGGCGTTTCAACTGTTTAAACTCTTTGAAAACAGCACTGTAATATATTTTTTGGGTCCTGGTGCTGCCGCTGCCCTTGCCATTGCATTGCTTTTCACCTGCCCTGCTTATAGGATACGTCTGCGCTCGCTAGCAGCCGCCTAGCAAGGCACGCGGTGTCGGGACCGCGCTGCAACGAAGCCAGTTTCCACAGGAACGCAGAAGCTGTTCAAATTGCATTGTTCCTACGGCGACAATCGAGCTTCTGCAGCAACGGCCATGGGAAAATGATCCTGGGAGTCACTGGCATGGGGTAGACCTGAACGGGCAGATGCACAAGCCCTGGTGGCTATCCACTTCGCCGCTAGATCTTCTCTCCCAAGAGTTGCTTTAATAGGTGTGAAGAAGGCAGCAAGAGCGGCTCAGTGCTGCCTGCTGAGCTTGCATGTGCGCGTTTGAGTTTGCGGAAGGAGGAAGCCTATATACACATATATACCTTTGAGCAAGGGGCTGACAGTCTCTTTTCCCCTCCGAAACGAGGTTTCAGCAGGCGCATTCGTTTTCAGCAGGCGCATTCGTTTTCAGCAGGCGCATTCGTTTTCAGCAGGCGTATTCGTTTTCAGCAGCCTCCATACGTCGGGTAGTGGAAGGCGCACTCCACACAGCTCCCGCTGTCGGGGAATCCACGCCATCGCCTTCCCTCTAAGATGACAGACTCTCGGAGCAAGGCCAGTGCAGCGCAACCTGTCTCCTCCTCGCAGCTCGAGCAGCAGCAGCAGCAGCAGCAGGAGCAGCAGGAGCAGCGACAGTTGGAAGATGCTGAGCAACTCACAGCCAGGCGAGGAGGAGCTGCAGACAGTCTTTTCCCGCGCGAAGGGGAAACAAAGAGGCCACAGGGAAGTCTCCTCGTTTCTTGTTGTAACTCCGCGGAGCTTCCCCAGCCTCCCGCTGTTGAGTTGAAGACGGAGTCGTCTGACACGAATCTATCGGCAAAAAAGGATCACGTGGAAGTGCAGATACAGCCGACTGCAGGACGTGTTCCTTCGGCAAGGCTGCATGCAAATGAGGCGCTTGCACGGCGCCGTCGGCTTATTCAGCAGGCTCGCATCGCCTCAATCTTGTGTGTGTGGCTTTCTCTCGCTGTAGGAGCAATGTCGGTGTTTCTAGGCTGCTCCTGTGCCCCTCCTTCGCTTTCGCTCATTGCGCTAGGAGCAGGAATGCTGATCGATGCTGTTTCTTCGTTGGCTGTTCTTTGGCGATTTGAGAAGGACCCTGCCACAGCGCCTCTGTCACGGCAGTTCTCGCTTCGCGTGAAGAGGGCACTTGTCGAGAAGCGCAGCAAGCAGCAGCAGCAGCGAGAGAAGCAGCAGCAGCGAAAGAAGCAGCAGCAGCAGGAGAAGCAGCAGCAGCAGGGGGATGGTGGGGAGGCGAAGGCACCAGGAGGGGATGGCTTGCCGACCGCTATAGAGCTGAAGGAGATCAGGAGGCATTCTTTTTCGGGGGAAGTTGCGGAAGCTGTTGTTGCGTCTGCAGACGAGGAAGACTCCGCGTCTACTGCAGCTGCGAGTATTTCTGCTGCAGAGAACACGCTGGAGAGTTCAAGGCACCCTCTTGAGGCGGCAGATGCTGCGTCCACCTCGGAAAGAGACAGTGTAGCTACAGCTCGAGTAGCTGCTGAGGGCAGCAGCAGCAGGAGCCTCCCCCCGAGTCACTTCTCGACAGACAACGCCTTTATCGCCTCCGAGAGCGCAGATGCTCGCGAGGAGAAGGCGACCTGGTGCGTTGGCGTCTTGCTGCTCATGATGGGTATATGGATTCTGCTGCATTCTTCTTTTTCTCTGTATTTGCATGCGCTGGCAGTAGCGGCTGCGGATACCCCTGCTGCAGCAGCAGCGCTCCGGGTGTCTGCGCGAGACGTGGCTGTCAAGACGCTTATCGTGACATGCCCCTGCGTATTGGTTTTTGGAGCTCTGACTGCCTTCAAGCTCTTCCTCTCTCTCCAGCTGAAGAGCAGCGCTCTCTTCAGAGACGCCGTTTGCTCCTTCTTTGGAGCTTTTCTCTCGCTCATCGCGCTTGTTGCCTCCACCTCCTGTCTCGTCTTCCTGCAAAGACCGCTCGAGGGGAACCCCAAGAGTCTGTTGCCTCACAACTACGATGCCATTGTCGGCGTTGCCGTGTCTACTCTCATTACGCTGGAAGGTATCCGCATGCTCTGCTTTCCTAGAACGAGTGCCGCATGCGCTGAGACGGGAGGAGGGCAGCCGGAGGCAACCACTTCCGTCTGCAGCAGCAGGCAGCAGCAGCCTGCTGCTGCAGACGCCGTTGTTGCTGCAAAGGCAGCTCGTAGCTGAAGCCTTCGGGAAAAGAGGGAACAGTTCATGGATTCAATAGGGAGGGAAAGGGGAGAAGAGGAGAAGAGGAGAGTAAACAGCGGTTTATTGCTGCTGCGTTGTTTTACCCCCGCCGTCTACAGGAGGGCTCCTGTAGACAGCGGCACTGGGCTTGCGTCGCACGCTGTTTCGTTCGTTGCCTTCATATTTAAATTTAAATATATATATATATATGTATATATGTGTATATATGTGTATCTGCCTAATCATCTGCTGTGTCTGCTATCTGCTACTCACTGCGAGGGCCTCTTTTTGAAGGGAGAGCTAGCTGCCTTGTGGCAACACAGCAAGGCTTTTTGGAAGAACGGGGACGAAGGCATAGGCTTCGTAAGGGGAGAGTTTCAAATATCGCGTCGAGCAGCAGCAGCAGCACACGAGAGTAACAAGAGGCCGTTGCCAGTGGCTGCTGCTGCGAGGCGTACCCCTCAGATTTGCCTGAGGCTGTGCAGACATTCTCGCTGGTGCTTTCTCTGCTTTTGTGTGACGTGGGGTGGGGGAGGGCTTGATAGAGATAGGCTTTTCGAGGTGGAAAATACGTACTCTGCCACTCCCGAACGAGGCTTTTTGGTGTCTCTCACCGTGCGCCCCTTAGTGAGCTACAGCACAAGAAAGCCGAAAGAACGCACCGCAGAGATAACGGCAAGAGAAGCAGAGAAAGACTCAGGCAATCGCTGAGGGAGAGTAATTGGCTCAAAGAGCACACGGGCACTGGGGGAGGTATAGGAGTCCTCTCAGAAGGCTCTCTGCATGCAGAAAGCTTTGCGGAGATCCTATTTCTCACGTACAAAGGTCGTCTAAGAGGGAGAGACAGAGAAAGAGACAGACAGACAGGGAGACGAAAAGCTCCTGGAATGGAAAAAAGGGCCTGAGCCACGAATGGAGGGATGCCAAGGAAGTGAATTCTGCGAGGGTAGTGCTTTGTGTTGGCGGTTAGTACATTATGCAGTGCGCTTTTTGCGCGAGTCTCTCTCATCAGAAGATGAGCGAACACACACCCCGAGGTTGGTGCGAGGGTAGTGCTTTGTGTTGGCGGTTAGTACATTATGCAGTGCGCTTTTTGCGCGAGTCTCTCTCATCAGAAGAGGAGCGAACACACACCCCGAGGTTGGGGCGAGGGTAGTGCTTTGTGTTGGCGGTTAGTACATTATGCAGTGCGCTTTTTGCGCGAGTCTCTCTCATCAGAAGAGGAGCGAACACACACCCCGAGGTTGGGGCTCGTTTTGTTGCTGCGAAGTCGAAGAGAATTCCCCAAAGTTCGTTTTGTCTTGCCTGTATTTCCTGTCAGAAGACACACGTTGGCGCATGCGCATGCCGAGGGTCAGGGGAGGTGACAAGAGGACCGGCAAGCAACGCGAGTCTCTGCGCTCGACGTGCCGTGCCTTAGCGCTGCGATGGCTATAAGGAAGCCTCAAACTATCGCTGTCGCGCAAGCCCTCTTCGAGCCGCGCAGTGAAACAAACGGCCTCAAGGAAAGCGGTCAGGGTGCCAGCAGGACGAAGACACGGCATGTGAAGATCGCTCGCATGGATAGCCGGCTACGAGAGTGTGAGCTTATTTTTTCTGAATCGCCATGCCTTTATGGCGGGGAAGTTCAATGTTTCTTGGCCCCTGGAGTCCATCTCGTGAAAGCACCTGCTCCAGTATCTGGCAGGCGTGTGGCTGCTGTCTTTCTGGTTCGCTCAAATCGGAGGGGCCTCTTTTCGAGGGGAAAGAGACTCGGAGTCTCTCTTCTGGCTCTTGGATTTGCCTTTCTTTTGCAGTCACGGCCAGAAGAATACTTCGGCGAAGAACCTCGAAGGACCACCCGAGAGGACGTCACGTGTCTATATTGCCTCCTCCGCGCAGTTGCGCCGGAAGGCATGGACCTTTTTCTATCTTTTGCGGGGGTCTTCTCGCCAGCGCTATTGTGATTCGAGTTTATTTTTCGAATGTCAGAAAGAAACAAACACAATTCGTCGGAAGTGCTCCTCGCAAGAGGCGCTTCCCCTCGTAGCAGGCAGGAAGGCGCTGCCGCTGCCGGGCTGGCGACGGTCGGCAGCGCTGTGCACTACCAGCAGCTACTGCTGTTACAATGTTCTTGTTGACGCAGCGTGTTTTCTTTTCGCTTTATTTGTAAATTGCAAATATCTTGGCTTTTTTTGCTCATCGAAGGGGCTCGCCAGCTCCCTGAGAAGCCCTCTAACAGGCGTGTGGCAGCCTGGGACCGTTGCCTTCCGCGGGTGAGTGGTCTCTCTCTCTCTCTCGTTTGGGGTGTACCCACACTTGGAGTCTTTTGGCCCCCTTTTGGCTCGAATTTCCCGATTCAGGGAGAGTCTCGCAGGCGCTTTTGCCGCCCTGTGGGCGGCAACAGCGGAGGAGGTGCTCTCGAGAGGCGCAGTGTACAGCCTCTACCAGCGTTTCTTTGCCCATTGTGTGTATATGGGGTCTCCAAGCGGCTACCAAGACGGCGGCAGTGGCGACTGCTCTCAGTTCTCTTGTTGTTTGGCTCTTTTTGACGTCGGCACAGCGGCTTCCTGACGGTCCCCTCCCTCTTCGGGGTGTCCAGTTGTGTGGCTGTCTGTCTGTCTGTCTGTCCTTCTTGGAAAGGCGTCTTTCGCACTCCGCCATTGACGGCGTTCTGGCAGGAGGCTTTCTGTAGCCTTGCTCTTTAGAGCCTTGACTCCTTGTCTAGACACCCTCTTGTATCAGCTCCCCGGAACCCGTCGTCCGTCTGCCTTCCTGCCTTGTGTGTTGCGTTGCACCGTGTGGCATTGCACTGAGTTGCGCTGCACTGCGTTGCACTGCATTGCGTCGATGGGCTTTCTGGAAATGGGGGGGGGCTCCCTCCGGGGGGGGCCCCCCTCTGGCAAGCCTGCAGAGTCTCCTGCGCTCCCCCTGCGTGGAGGGAGTCTCCCCGAGTCTCCCGAGAGCTCCTGCGCCTGGATTCAAGACTTCGTGAAAGGGGTGGGATGGAGTGAGGAGCAAGGGCGTCGCGCGGAAATGGAAGACGGCATGTTGGTGGTTCGAGGCTTCGGAGGGCAGCGAGGAGCCTGGCTCTTTGGGGTGTACGATGGTCATGGAGGCAGGCAGACGGTGGAGTTTTTGTTGCAGCACTTGCACGCGAACATCCGCAGCGAAGTGTTGAGCAGAGCTGCGAGGCGCAGGGAGGAGCTCATTCGGAGGGAGGGGCGGGAGTGGGTGAGCCTCGTCAAGAGTGCTGTGGATCAGTCCACCAGGGGGGGAGTGGGGGTGGAGGGGGAGGAGGGGGGGGGGTTGCTCCCCCTTCCCGCTCCTCTTGCTCTTTGCTCGCAGGCTGAAGTCGAGGCGGCGCTTGTTGCGGCTTTCAAGGCTACAGACGAGCAGCTGCTGAGAGCGGGCGTTCGAGAAAGCGGCAGCACGGCCTGTGTGTGTCTCCTTCATCCGAGAGTGTCTCTCTCCCCCTGCGCCTTCCCGAGGAGGCTTTTTCCGGAAGACGGGAGCGCGCGGAGCTGCTCGCCGCATTCCGCGGAGAGTGCAGCAGCGGCGGCTGACAGCAGCGCGCTCGAAAGCAGCCGCAGCGAGAGGAACGGCTGCCGCGGAGCGAACTCCCCGAGCGCTTCTTCTTCTCAAGAAGTCTGCATGGATCTTCACGCTGCGCACTTGGGGGATACGCGAGTTTTGCTGGTGTACACGAACGGATCTTGTCGCCGACTGACTGACGCCTCCGACCACAAGGCTTCCGCTCCAAGAGAAGCGGAGCGCGTGGAGGCGCTCGGCGGCTTCGTGATCGGGGAGCGCGTTAACGGCATGTTGGCGATCGGGAGGGCGTTTGGAGACTGGAGCCTCAAATTGGGCCCAATGGCTTCGCCTGCGCTCCTCGGCAAAGGCCGTCAGCTCATTGTCTCCAACGTTCCCGACGTTCAGACGGAGAGCTTCGTGTCTGTTGCGCGTGGGGAGGAGGAGGAAGAGGAGCGGGAGCAAACGCTCCGGCTTCACCCGCAGCAGAAGCCGTCGAAACACACGCGGCTCGTGTCTGCGGCGGAAGAGACTGCGGCAGACTCCGGAGCGGCGAGGCGAGCCAGCAGGAAGGTCGTTTCGGCGAGGCAGCAGCACCTGGAGCCTGCCTTGCTCATCTTGGGGTGTGACGGCTTGTTCGATGTCATTGACGACGCTGCAGCTGCGTCTTTCGCGCTCGGGGTTGTCAAGGCTGTAGCTGCAGAAAATGCTGCCGCCTCGGCAAGCGAAGCAGCGGAAGCCGCTGCGAGAGCTCTCATGCACGAGGCTGTCGGCCTTAGGATGAGCAGCGACAATGTCTCCATTGTCGTCTGTGTCTTGCAGTCCATGGAGGAGCTTGCTGCTGCTGCTGCTGCTGCGAAACGCGAGCTGTCTGTACAGCTGGCCCCTCCCGCTCAGCAGGCGCTTCCTCCCCCCCCAGCAGGACGGGCGGCAGCCTCGACGGTCGCTAGAGGCTGCGAAACTGCTCCCGGAGCTTCGTGGCAGCAGCGAGTAGGCTCCCCAAACGTTCGACAGTGCGCTGCGGAAGGACTGACATGTGCTTTTCCTGGAGGGAGCCTCGCGCAGGCAGCAGAAACGATTCTCCCCCCAGCAACTGACGCAGCCTCGGGAGAGAGCCTGCAGGAAAGGGGGAAGGGGGGGACCCCCTGTAAACTTCCAAGCAGCTCCGGAGGCACCCAAGGGGGGTTCCCTGCAGGAGAAAAGTCGAGCAGTATCAGCAGCATCAGCAGCAGCGTCAGCAGCAGCAGCAGCAGCAGCAGGCCGAGTGAGGAAGACGTCATCAACGTGGGCAGTCCTAGCAGCAGCAGCTGCAGCAGCAGCCGCAGCAAAGGCAGTGCAGCGCCAACTCCTCTTGCCGCAGGAGGGGGCAGCCTCTCCACGCTTACAACAGACGCAGAACCTCAAAGCCTCAGCTCTCCTGGAGACTTCTTCCCGTGCAAAAGTGATCGTTTACCGCTTGCAGGAGCTCCCCTCGCCGCCACATCAACGGCTGCTACCAGCAAGGAGCACCAAGAGCAGCTGCTGCTCATGCTGCAGAAGCAACAACCGATCTACCAACCGCCCACGTCCATAGACGAACAGCAGCTCCTGCAGTCTCTGCAGGCTCACCAGCAGCAGCGGCTACAGCAGCAGCACCAAACCCCCGCACAGGAGCCGCAGTCGCGACGCGCTGCAGCAGCAACGACAGCAGCAGCTCCCGCAACAGCAGCAGCAGCAGCAGCAGCAGCAACAGCAGCAGCAACAACCCGCGTTGGTCTTGTTTTGCCACCTTCATGGCCCCAAGGGAGGCCTCTAACACCCCTCGGCACACGCCAGCCTTACGAGAGGCCATCATGCTATGGCGCTGCTGCCTCCTGGATCGCCTCTGTGCAGCAGCAGCAGCTGCTGCAAAAGCAGCAGCAGCTCCAGATGCAGGGGGCAGGCGTCAGTCCTCTCTGGGGGCCAAGGAAGACGCCTGAGGACGGCTCTCCTTCGCTTTTCTCTAGCCGACATGCGCGTGATCCCGTGCATGGCACTGTGTCGGAGAGATTCGCAGTAGGCGGAAGCGACAGACTCAGTGGCGCGAAACAGTACGGGGCTTCCCACTAGCGCTTGCTGCAGCTGCGTGGGCGCTTCTGCCACGCGCATGCAGCTGTTTCGGTTGCTTGGTGATGAACATAACACGACCCTGCCCATCTCGCAGCCCCATCCTCCTCGAAAAAATCCATGCATACGCACACTGTATGCCCCTACTGCTGCTCGCTCACTGCCTCAGTCCTTTCTGCTGCCGATTCCTCGAAAACGAGTGACCTCTACAGGGCAGGTTACCAAGACTCGGGGAGAGGCTTGCTCGCTCCCTGGAGAGCGGAGATCGTAGTTAGCTGTGCTGCGAGGATGGATGTCGCTGTCCTCGAAGAACTGTGCTCCGAGACATATCCTCTGCGGTAGTGAGGAGGATCGTTACACAACTCAAAGTTGAACTAGAGGAAAACGAAACGCCTTTATGAGGCTCGACCGCATGCGCATTCTCTAGACGCTTTTCGGGGTTGCGCAAAACAACTTTGGCGTTTACCGGGTTATTCAACACGTGTTATAAACAAGCAGCATTGGCTGTAGTAGTACGTGGCCTCCGGTGTATGTACACTCCAGGGTCTCGCCGGTGGTTCTGCACCTGACCACAATTCCCCCTGTCCGAAGTGCGGGCCCTACTCTCGCTTCCTTCAGCCCCAAAGAATCAAATATTTGAGTAACAGGGGAACCTCAAAAAAGTTTCTTCCTCAAAAGGACCAGCTGCTAGGAAATTGGGGAGGTATCATAGCGGGGTGTATGCAGGGACGCTGTGATGCGTGAGCCCTTTGCTGGTGCGACTGTGCTAGCTGCTCCTGCTGCTTCTAGACAGTGTCTGCGTTCCTATGTCTAAAAAGCAACATAGGGTGCGCTTGTTCAGCTTGAAAGGCGCTGCTAGAAAAGAGCTTTAACTCGCCAACTTGAAGTGTACATACACACTTGTCTGACAGTGGAGCTGGCAGCAGCTTAACATCTCCCTACCGGCATGTCTGTGCCAAACGGAGAGTTGGCGGCTTGTGCTCTCCTCAGGCCTGCCCCCAAAAGCTGCTGGGGTAGACTGGGTGTGTCTGCCCATCCCCTGTGCGGCAAATTTGCGGTACACCGAGGTCCTTTTCGAAAAGGGCTGTGGAGCTGCAGCAAAGGCAGGAACGTCTGTAGCGTCAGTCAAGGTGCTACAGGCTATTTCGTCTCTATAGCGTGTGCTTCTACATTAATGGGAGCAGCACGCGATTCTCAGTAAGCGAGGGAGGGACCGCTGATTGAGACATTGCCAGCATTCTAGATACAAAGACGGCGGAGGCCAGTGCCTGCAAGAAATGAAGGCTACAGCTGCAAGGTGTTTGATGTGCCCTATTTGTTTTCTTCCTGTCGAATTATTTTTGACTGAGGCATGTGTCTGGGGCCCTTCAAGGCTTTCTGGCGTTTCGGTGCATACTGTTTCGCACATCATACAAGTTTCCCTGTCATAGAGCAGGAAGGCTGTCCTCCACTGCACTTGGGTTGGGTTGGGCTGCACTAAAGCGAGCAACAGGGAGACTGTGTCTGCGTTAGCATGCTTGAGTAGGAGTGTGAAAGAGTTGGTCGCTTTTCAGTCCTTCCTTTGAAGAGAAACGTGGGTGTGGATGTGGGGGTGTACTACAGGGAGAGAGGCAGGAGAGGAGGCCAGGCCTAATCGCCTCATTAGAGACAAGGTTCTGGGGATTGGTTGCTGATTTGACAGCATGGCCAGTTCTCAAGTGTACTGAGCCAAAAACACCCTGGTGTGACACGTGATAGGCGCATGTCTGCTTACTTTTTTGTCGGCGTTCTTATTCAGGGCCGAAATTCCAGCAGAGACTTGCGTGAGGCACTTCAGAAATGCGCTTAAAGAGTTGCCTCTTTCTCTGTTTGTGTGTGTGTTTGCGTGTGTACATATATACGCGTATTTTCTGTTGGGAAGTGTCGAGCGCCTTCTCGCCTTTACTGGTGCGCGTGCATCCTTGGATGGTTGCGCGCCTTTGAATCCCTCCTCACGACGAGTATTTGCAGCCCTTTTCATTGATGCATATGTGTTTTTGCGTATTGTGCAGAGGACTGGACGCATTCAATAGCCGAGAGACACCAGACACGTCGCTGGCTGGGGGCAGGGGGGCCCCCCTGCCTCGCCCAATGGGGCCCCCTGACCCGTTGTTTGCTGGGGCGTTTGACGGGCACTGCCTTTTAGAAGCAGCTCTTCCAGGAGCACTTTTTTGCTATTTACGCTGGCATTTCTGTAGAGAGAGATATATATATAATATATTTCTCCTCTTCGGCTAAGCGGCAGAGGCATGGCCGCCTGCCCCGCTGAGCCTGCACGCGCACTAACCCCTGACCTCCCCAGCGGCTCTGTTTCGGACGTCCATACACCGCAGCGCTTCCCTTCTTTTTCGCAGCAGCTCCCGCCGCCTCTCACCGTTCCACAGAAGCTACCAGCTGTATGCAGGGTGGTGTTTGCGCCGAAAAGAGGGGAGCACTTGCAGCAGCCGTCAGGGGATGCAACCAGAATGACTCCAGGAGGCTCAGCAATGCAGGAGCAGAGCTGCATGCAGTCTTCTTCTGCGGCTAGCTCGAGCCATATCCTTCGGGGCAGCAGCCAAGGGGGGGGAGTGTGTGAGGCTCCGCGCCGACTGTGCGATCTTCCCTTCGTCTTGACAGACGACCCCCTCCAGCAGCAGCAGGTGCAGCAGCAGCAGCAATGGCAACAGCAGCTGCTGTTGCCATCCGCGCTGGCGCTCGTCCCCTCTGCTGCCTCTTGCGTTCAATCCGAGACGTCTGTTGAGACGACTCCCCAAACCTGCAGCAGCGGAGCAGCAACTGCAGCAGCAGGCGTGGTAGCTGCTCAAGGGCTTCATGGTCCTTTGCTGCGGCTCGCAAACACACACAGCACGGAGAGTTGCAGCGGTGAAGGCTGCGAGATTGTCTTATACAGGGGCAGCACGCTTGTCGTGTATCATCGCCAGTATCAACGCGCGGGAGCGAAGATTCTGCTTCCCGAGGAGCAGCTAGCTCTTCTTTCGCAGTATGCTTCTGAGGCTGCCAAAGCCTATCCCTGTTGATGAGTTCTTATTAGAGATTCTCTCCTTACCTGTTGCTGCCGAAAAGCACAAGCAGGAAGAGTGAAAAGGCGGGGGGGGAGGGGGGGAGGGCAACGCCCCTCTGCTGCACGGGGTGCTGGGGTGTATGTACACACGTCTTCTCGTGGTGTCTCTGCGCGATCGCTGCAGTCGAATCACACGCTGCGCACTTTGCGGGCAACTTGTGGATCCTTCCTCCTTCGCATTCGAGGCTCAAACGTATTTCCACATGCTGCAGGAGCTGTTTGCACGGCTGAAGCAGCAGCAGCAACAACAAGACACCCCGGGAGAGCATGGGGTGTATAGGGACCCCCACACGGGTGCCTTCGTCTGCCCAGATGCGGAGACTGCTGAACAGTCTTGGAGTAGCTCGCCTGCTGCCTGCTGCGCAGCAGCTGCTGCTCTCGAGGAAGATTCTGCGCTGCGCCAAGAGGCCTTAACAAGCCAGCAGCAGCAGGAGTGGCAGTACCTTCCGAATAACGAGCTCCCCCCTGCTCCCTTGAATCCTTATCTGCGACAGAGGCAGAAACGGCTCAGAGCTGAACATATCCCCGACTATCAGGCAGGCATGCACCGTTGACACTAGAATTTTCGCCATCGACTTCCGACGGCTGCTACATCTATGCAGAGATTCTCCCTATCTACGTCTCTCTTACTCAGGGCGGCTGTCTGCATTTGTGTATATACATCCTGCCTGTATGTATGTATTCATGTGTGTGTCTGTATTCATGTATACATATGTCTGCATGCATTTATCTTTGCATACATATGTCTATCTGTATTCATGTATACATATGTCTGCGTGTATTTATCTTTGCATACATATGTCTATCTGTATTCATGTATACATATGTCTGCATGCATTTATCTTTGCATACATATGTCTATCTGTATTCATGTATACATATGTCTGCATGCGTCTATCTTTGCATACATATGTCTATCTGTATTCATGTATACATATGTCTGCATGCATTTATCTTTGCATACATGTGTCTATCTGTATTCATGTATACATATGTCTGCATGCATTTATCTTTGCATACATATGTCTATCTGTATTCATGTATACATATGTCTGCATGCATTTATCTTTGCATACATATGTCTATCTGTATTCATGTATACATATGTCTGCGTGTATTTACCTTTGCATACATATGTCTATCTGTATTCATGTATACATATGTCTGCATGCATTTATCTTTGCATACATATGTCTATCTGTATTCATGTATACATATGTCTGCATGTATTTATCTTTGCATACATATGTCTATCTGTATTCATGTATACATATGTCTGCATGCATTTATCTTTGCATACATATGTCTATCTGTATTCATGTATACATATGTCTGCATGCATTTATCTTTGCATACATATGTCTATCTGTATTCATGTATACATATGTCTGCGTGTATTTATCTTTGCATACATATGTCTATCTGTATTCATGTATACATATGTCTGCGTGTATTTACCTTTGCATACATATGTCTATCTGTATTCATGTATACATATGTCTGCGTGTATTTACCTTTGCATACATATGTCTATCTGTATTCATGTATACATATGTCTGCATGCATTTATCTTTGCATACATATGTCTATCTGTATTCATGTATACATATGTCTGCGTGTATTTATCTTTGCATACATATGTCTATCTGTATTCATGTATACATATGTCTGCATGCATCTATCTTTGCATACATATGTCTATCTGTATTCATGTATATGTATGTCTGCCTGTATATCTCTCTCTTTCTTTCTACCCTAGTTCTATGGCCTGCTCTTCACGCACGCAGTCTCCCACCCCCCATCTTTCGCTCCCCCTTCCCACGTTGAGCCAAGCGACTGACCTCCTGTATCTGCACGTCTATCACTGGCAGCAAAAGGTGGGCTTGCAGAAAAGCGTGTTTTTTCTTTGTGCCGTGCACAGCCCATTCCCCGCGAATCTCTTGTCACGGGGTATTACTCTCGCTTTTTTATCGAGAGGAAGCAAATTGGACGTGGAGCCTTTGGTACAGTTTGTCTCTGCGAGCACTTGTTGGACGAACTTCTCCTTGGAGAGTTTGCTGTGAAGAAACTTCCCGTTGGCGACGATAGGCATTGGCTGCAGAGGGTGTGTCTGCTGCTGGCTCCGAATCGACTAAGTCTGCCGTTCTGCTAGCTTCTCGGTTTGTCGAAACTGGAAATGCAGAGCCCATCGCTTCTTCGCGGACGGCTGCTGGCGGTTATCTTTGCTGTGGCGATCTCTGCTGTGTGGGTTGGAGCGATCTCTGCTGTGTGTTTGAATCGAATTTTGCATATGCTTTCCGTAAGATTTCTGTCCCCTCTTTTGAGCTCCTGCTCTAGGCCGCTGCACTGCTTGCGCGCCGAACTCCTTGTGTCTGGTGTCTGTACACCTGCCGCTGCGTCTCCCGTGTTTCAGGCACTGCGCGAAGTGAAGATTCGTGAGCGTCTGAACCACCCTAACATTGTTGACTACAAGCATTCATGGCTCGAGGTTCGTTGTGTGCAGCCGAAGCAGCTAGCGTGTGGGATCAAAGGCTTGCTTTCCTGTCTTGTCTCGGTGTGTCATGCTTTTTTCTGCATGCACTGTGTCTCGCCTCGACGCGCATGTCGACATGTCCGCAGATGCATAGAGCGAACGACATAAGCCCCACAGTGCCTTGGCTCTTTATTCTGATGGAATACTGCAACGCAGGTGCTGGCGATGCTGCGTCTCCTGCTGCTGTCTCTACACTCTCCACCTGTATCTCGGCTGCTTGGCCTCTTGGTGTTGCTTGTGGCTCAGCGTGGGGTTCTGTTGCTGCCTTGCGCTCTTTCCAGGCGACCTCGAATCGCTCATTGCCTTTCTGTACGACGGGCATGCGGCCGTTGCAGTTGCCGATGAAGTTGCAGCAATAAATGCGGCAGCTGGAGTGGCAGGTGTGGAGGAAGCAGCGGCTGCAGCGGCTGCTGCTGCATCTCTGCCGTCGACTCCACCCTACGTAGCTGCAGCCGCCGCTGCAGCGGCGGCTGCAGCAGCCACGGCAGCCACAGCGTGCCCCTCCTCTCCGCTCGCTTCATGCTCGCCAGCTACTGCGGCTGCTGCTGCAGCTGCGGCAGCGAGCTGCTGTCTCGGCAGCGGCCACGTGTGGCGGCTGCTGCTGGATATTCTCTTTGGCTTGCAGCATCTGCATCACTCGGGGATCGTGTATCGAGACATGAAGCCTGGAAACATTCTACTAGACTGTCGGCGAGCTGGTCATGGAGCTGCTCAGAGGCACGCCTCAGGCATGCCTCTGAGCAGCTCCACAGCTGCAGCGTCTGCTGCTGCTGCCTCTCCTTCTGGAGGAGGCGTAGCAGCTGTTGCAGGGGCTGGTAGTACTGCTGTAGACAGCAGCAAAGTCGTTCTGAGAGCTCTACTGGCAGACTTTGGCACTGCGGAGCTCTCTGGCATCGTGCGGAGTCGTGGGGGCGGAGGCGCTGGAGTGCTAACTGCCCCTCGAGGATTCACGGGAACAGTCGAATTTACTGCTCCCGAGTTGCTGGAAGGAAGCGTTCTGGTGAGGCAGGCTGCTCTGATGCAAGTCGAACTCGTCTCTTGGACGGCGCAATGAAGAATGCCGCGTCGGTCGGCTTCGCTCTGTTGGCTCGGCGCGCATGGGAAACGTCTCGAGGCGTTGTTGGCAATAGACAGCTTGCCTTTGCTGCTTCTTTCTCCCCTTCTTCTTCCGGCGACTGTGCGTCGCTGAGCTTCGAGCCGTGCTCTCTGAGCTGTCTGATGGTGCTGTGTGCTCTTTTGACGGTTCTGCTGCTGTAGGACGGCGAGGCAGTTTACGATCCGAAGGGAGACATGTGGAGCCTTGGCCTCATTGTCTTCTGTCTCTCTTACGGAACGGTTCCGTATGGCGGAGAAGATCCCCAGGCGTCCAGAAGAGCCATTTTGGAGCACAAGAGAATCAAACTGCCGCAACACCCCAGGCGGTAAGATGCTTTCGGAGACTTCGAGCGAAAAAGGCATGCGTTGGTGTATGGTTCTAGGTAGGCATGCGTTGGTGCGAGCTATAACAGTGTGCTTAGGAGGCTTTGTTCGGGGTGGGGAAGGCTAGTGTTAGAAGGCGTGAAGGGGTGATTTTCACCCTTGAGTACGGATATATATATATATATGTATATGTATGTATCACATTCAGTCTGTGACTCCTGTTCCACAAAAACTTGCATAGAGATGCATACATACACATGTCATGTGTGTGTGTCTATGCATATGTATGAATATGTATGTATCAATATATTTGTGTATATATACACATGTGTATATATGTGTGTATATGCATATGTATCTAGAGGAATCTATGGGTGGCTTTTGTTTTAGTTCGTGCAGCAGTGATGGTGTCGCTCCCTGCGTAATGCAGTGCTGCTGACACTATGGCCGCTCGCGCTGTGTTCGAATCTGGTGTGTAGCTTTGAGGTTGTGAATAGATGCAAAATAGTCCGTCACGCCCTTCATTTCGGGAGGCTTTGGCCCTTTGTTTGTGCCTCTGCAGCCCATCCAACCTGAAGCTTTTAATTGAAGCCCTCACCCAAAGGGCAAGGAGCTGCTGCAGTCTGTGTTTTTGAGGCTTCTACTACTCCTCGATTTCTCCCCCAGGAGACGCCGATCCGTGCAAATTCTTGTATATGCACTCTTCGCCTTGAAATGTGAGTGTGTGTGTTTGTGTGTGTGTGATGCGCTGCGCTGCAGGAGGCGGAGTTGAGGCCTTCTGTGGACGATCTGCTCTCCAGTGTGCCCTTGTTAGACGCGTTGGCGGATAGAGATGCCTTGCAAAATGCAACAGAAGAGCTAGTGCTACTGTTGCTGCTCAAGCAGCAGCAGCAGCAGCAAGCGGAGTCCAGCAACAGGAGGGCTGTAGCCATTGCGGCGGCTGCAGAAGCTGCTAAAAAGAGAAGCTTGGCGTGCCTCGTGACTGCCGCCGCTTCTCCACAAACAGCAGGGGCCCTTCTTCCCGCCGTAGGAGGAAAGCCTTTACCGCAGCTCTAGTGGCGGCTCTGCGGCTCCTCCGTCCATGCCGTTGTGTCGAGTTGCTCTACTGAGCGGCTTCTGGCCAGTGTATTTTTGCGAGTCTCCCGAATCTCTAGCAGTGACGCAAAAAGGCGAGCTCGAGACGGCAGGGTGCTCGGCCTAAGTCGCACAGATGCAGTAACGCCTCCCCATTTAGTGTTGAGGCTGAGGGCCTCATCACTAAATGCGCTTAGGCCTTTTATGAGGGCAAGAGTGGCGCAAAGAAAATTCCACGTAGAAGGCTGAGAGAGACAGGTAGCAGCAAGGCAGCTGCCAAGATGAGGCACAGGGCCAGTATCACGCACTTCTCCCCAAGCGCATCTACGACACGAAAAACATGATAGGCGTAGAAGCGAAAGCGCAACCCTCAGATGCTGGCGATCAGATCCTTTCTTCAGCAGTCTTGTACGCAGCGATCTCCAGCCAATAAAGCCCCACCAAAATGACGTTCTCCTGCTGCAGTCCCTCCCAGCTATATCCCTAGTGGTGGCACACTGCCGTTTAGAGGCTACGGATGCTACTGCACATCTATGCACATATGTACATGTACATGTTGACGCGTACTCATATGTATACATATATGTACACGTATTCATACGGCTTTCTTCAGGGGCGGTTGCTGTGCTTCTCCTCCTCAAAAGCTGCAGACTGCGTAGCCTGCAAGGCAACCCTGCGGAGGCCTTTAGCGCATGTTCTGATGAGGGCACTGCTTTCTTTTTCTGTACTGCTAACACCACGGGTGTATGAGCCTAAAATGTATTCATCACACCAGAGGTATTCGACCCCGCTCTCGAGTCGCGCAGTCAAGGGTGCACCAGCGCCATCCGTCTCCTCTTTCTGCGTACGGGAAAACCTGTCGCATTCTCACTGCGAAGGAGTTTTCTCTCTCGAAAGCAAGGTTCGAGAGGATTTCAACTTTGACTCCCCATGAAGCACTTTTCTGGGATCTAAGATGCGCTTTGACCACTACCGCTAATCGTACTTTCACGCTTTCCGAAAGGATTTATCGGTGTTGGCTTTTTTTACTGGCTGTTCGTGCACTTCATGTGGCGCGAGGTGCTTGAGTTTCAGAGTACGAGCAAGTGTGGTGTATTCCTGTGCAGTGAGGGCTGTGCGCCAATAAAAACTTAGTGCTCGCAGAGTGCCGCATATAATCCTTCTTGCCCTGCTTTCCCCCCTCCCCCTTCCCCCGCAGCCCCTTGCTCTGAGCTTCGTTAGGGAGAAAACACAGCTCATCGAAAAGACTCACACTTAACAGGCTCCCTTGGATCTCAGGTGCCACGTGCGCTGATAGCACAGCCTCGCCATCTCTTGCTGAAAAGCAGCTTTTTGCTTACTATACCGTCGTCGCTTCAGTGCAACGAGTCGAAAATAAGCTAGCGAAGTGATAAACATCTTGGCCAGGACCCCTCCATTGCAGTTTCCCCCTGCTACTGGCCAAGCTCCACTGAAACGCTTTCTATTGCACTAGGCACACCTGATGAAATTAGCAACAGTCGGCTAGTTGGTTTGTCTATTCATATGTCTTACTTGTTTCAATGTACTACGAGGTCGATGCAAGAATCCGTTGTGTGTGTGTGTGTGTGTGTGTGTGTGTGTGTGTGTGTGTGTGTGTGTGTGTGTGTGTGTGTGTGTGTGTGTGTGTGCTAGGTACGATGTACAACTAGTTCTGAATGCTCGGAAAGCTTAGAAGGTGCAGCGATGCGCATCTTAGCTGTCCCACTCCCCCTATTCGGATACCTCTGAGTGGCGTGGAGAGAGAAAGATGGGAGATACTGCGAGATATGCAATACCTCTCTATCAAGCTTGTTTTGAGTCTGGAGTTAAGAGTCTGCCTACAGAGACCTTGGACGGAGTGTTACACAAAGTGGCACAGCACGGTTCCATTTAGTTGTTCCCGCTAATACAATGGCTTCGGATGCAGTTAAATGTCATATTTCCCTCCAGAAAATGTCTTGGTTTGATAGGGCTACTTGGTAGATTAATAATGTACATCCAGCAACGGGCTGGGGGCCAAAAGGCCTCTCATGATGGAAGTTGACGGTAGCACAACGCCTGTTGGGAGGCGAAGACGGCCTGCAAATTGATGTGGACGCCTCAGCTCCATAGTTCAGAGAAAGGCATGTGTTTCCAGACGAACAAATGGACATGAATGCGCCGATTAGGCTATGCCGGCCAGAAAAGTATGACCGCCGTAGGTTCGGCAAGGACACGAAGATTTTCTCAGCCTCTAAGAGATGTGTGTCTCTGTGAACTCCCCAGATGGAGGGATTTGAATACGTGTAGATGCAGGCTCATTGGAGAAAAGAGCACTGTAACAGTCGCCTGATCCATATAGAAAAGGTCGTCTGCTTGCAGGAACTACTGAAGTTCAAGCCTTGTGTGCACGGCCTGACTCATCGTTCTATGCCGAGACCACCTCATAACGAGCTCGCAGGGACTTAGCAAAAGCTACACTAGGAAACCTCACGACAGAGTGGAATCTCTGAAATGTGCAACTTTGGTTCGCACGAGGCAAACCACAGACGAGCAACTCTTTGGACGATGGCTTTTCTCAGGCGCACCTCAAAAGTGCCACTTCCGATGGCCAGAAGGTGGGCAACAACCCACCAGTTCGAACTAAACTGCAGGGCTTCCGGAAGTGATGAAATAGTTGAGGCTTTAGAAACACAGGAGCGCAAGTGTTGCGTCTTTAGCTGTAGAGCTTATCCAGGCTTTACAAACTTTGAATGCCAGAGCTCGATCAGTCAACCCTAGCCTACAGTCGCAGGCAAAACGAGAAAAGAGCTGGAGGACCCCGTGCTCCTATGCAGCCCCAGGGGTGTCCCTGATAGCACAGTAATTTCATCCAGTTCGAAAATGCAACTGCATGCAGAAATTCCATAAACGTTTAAAACGGAATAAATCGAGCGGTGCCAGGCTGCTTGGAAAGCGAAAAAGGCGCATCAAGGGAACCACAGGCCCCACGCGGGCTGTGGTGCAAGGAAGGGGGATACGCATTATGAAGTTGTAGCTGTGTACTCATCACGAGTCAGCTCTCCGTTAATGCAAGCCCACACTAATGATTAAAGGCTGCTAGCATGACTTCTCATTCGTTTTGAATTCGATCTGTTATTTTCAGGGAAGCAGCCGGGGAATACAGTGTGCATGTTCACTTGTTAGTGCAGTTTTTAAAGCTCCGGTTTGCTGACCGGCGCCAGAATGCACGGATTGGCAGATATACGGCAGTACCTGCTACGTCCGATCGCAATGGGGCCTTGTCAGCAATATTCAAGACTGCTATGTTGGACCCGTGTACCTCGATGTAATCCTAGGAATGCCAACAGTGCCTCTATGGAAGGCACACATGCAGAAGCAGCTGCACGCTGTGAAGGCCTGTGTGCCAGGAAGCGCTAAAAATAAACAGCTCCTGGTTTCCTCAACAGCACTTATTCCATCGATGGTGAACCGGGTATTGTCAGGGCCTCAACAAAGTGAGGCAGAACGCCGTGAGGGTGACTCAGCAGCGCAGTAGAAGACGGTCGCGAGCATGCATCCTGTCGAAGTGACTGTGTGACTTGCGTAGTACCAAGGGCTTTGGTTGCTCGTTCAGCTGAGGAAAAGCAGAATTGGAACACATTAAAGGGAAGTTCGTGGATGTGCTAAATAATGAGATAGCAATAGACTGGCCACTTACTGGTCGTCCAGCGCACCGCATAAAGTTAATCTCCATGTCAGACCAATACTAGGTTTCGCGGTACCAAAAGCCCCCACAGCAAGTAAAAAGGAGTGCAGGATAGGTCAGTGCTTTGATGAGAAAAGGCAGAATTCAGGGATCGACGAGCGTCTCTGGGCATAAAACGTTATTAGTGACGCGTGTGCGTTTGCGAGAAGCGTCAAACAAGAGTACTGTGAAGTCGAAGGATTTGGTGCCTCATCTTGGCGGATTGTTTCAACAACACACACGAACGGCGCCCTCGCCATTTGACACTACAGGGGCTTTCTAGCAAATCCCCATTTACCCTAATGGCAACTACAAAACGGCGTTCCGCAATTTCACCCGCAAACTTGAGTACACCTGCATGCCATTTGGGGTTGTTAGTGCCCCAGTTGAACTGCAGCGGCAATTCAACTTTTTACTGTGCATATCAAATGAGTGTGAATAACTGCCTTAATAAGCGTCTTCATATGTAGCCAAAGCCTTCAAGAACGCTTGAAAGCCCCCATGAGGTGCGCTTTAGGTGACTTTTTAGAAGCAGCAGCATGTGAGAGCACATAAATAATTGCGCCTCGATGAAAACACTTCTGTCTTTAGGATTCAGTGCTTTTGTTGTAGGAAGTGAGTTAGATCTAGTAAATTTACAGGTCGAGACATGCCCTTTATCTTCACAGTTCTCCGGATCCTGCGTTGCTCAATTCTGAGAATCATTTTTCTCTAATAACAGATACTAGTGACGGAGAAGTAAATGCTTTATCCCACAACAGTTTACGGCTTATTCAGGACCCAAAACATGGCTTGTGAATCTCATCACTTCACCAAATCCGAGATGCCGTATCGAGTGCGAGAAAGGAAGCTCTACGCAGTGTGGTGAGGAGCAGAAATATTACCGGGACTATTTACATCGCGGCCAGTTTGCTGCCCAGACAGACAGAGCGTCTTTACTGCGCACTTTCGAAGAGTTATTAAGGATTAAAACTCCATGAGCTATCCGCTGGCCTTGGCGCTGCCTCCAGTACGGCTTTGCAGTGTTGTGCACAAAGGGCATTACCAACGAGGTCATCGACGCGGTATGGCGACGCCCCAACACATCTTTTTTTTGTGTAGCGCAGCCAATCTTATCACTTTAGATTTATGGTTCCAATAGAAGTGACGTGGGCTTATAAATTCAAAACCTACGCACCTACTGGTATTGCCAAAATCCAGAATGGCAACACAGTGAAGCACTACCACATCGACGATGTCCTACTGTAGTTCAAAAGATGGCGACACTCCGTCACTTGCTCATCTCGATATCATTCCGCAGTGCTGTTCTGGGCAAAACACAAAACCGTTTTCAATCATGATGGGATTTACACTACAGTGCAAAAGCTTTCATAGTCCGCCTCCCTGGGAAGTGTTCCGTGACAGAGAAGTATGCACCGCCATGCCAAGATTGTCAGCAGCTGGAGTAATGCACTTTCCTTAGAATCAACCATTTGCAAAGTCCTCCGGTCAATGAAAGAACATGGCCTGGTCGGCATGTTTTGACTTTATTGCTGGATTTTAGAAGTCAAGGGTCAGGTTAGCATCTATGTCGTTGTCGACAAACTCAGAAAATGTGCCCATCTGCTCGCTTCCTCCAATTCTATCGTAGATAAAAATGTATCGGATACTGTTGCTAGTTAATATCTGGATGCTTTACTTCGCGAACATTTCAAGAGCCTCATTACGGGCAGCGATCCGAAGTTCGTTTGTGCACTCTGGAGTGCGCTATTGACTCACCTACAAAATGACCAGGCGTTGATCAATGCGAACCAGCCCTGGAGAAATGAACTGACAGAGAGCACCAACGACTTTTGCGGTGTTCGCGGGGTTTAGGTACAGAAAAATCGAATCGCTTGGCTCAAGTCTCTTCCTTGTGCACAGTGAGCTTAGTACAGCACTGCACTCGTGTACCGTGCAACTACCACCATCTTTGGTCTACACTAAGGATCTTCTAGGCACTCCGCGGCTTGATTCGGTGTTCCGAAGTAAGTAGCCACTTATAGCAGCGAAAGGCCTCAGAAAGCAGTTGGTTAGCGCGCTGCGCCAACGCGGGCGCAATGCTCAGGAGAAACCAGTACCATGGAATTGTGTTTGTCGTTGGTCAGCTGCAGTGTGTTTCGACGTTGAATATTTGTTCCTGGTGGACTGGCAGGGACTACCAGGTGAACTTGAAGGTAATTAGACGAATTTTGCGGACTGGTGACCTAAATCATTTAGTATGTATCCACGGATCAATGCCTTTCACTAATCTACAAACACCGCTACAAGAAGGATGCGCCACAGAATTATTGATAGCGGTAGCCTAGAAAGGTGTGAAAGCTCTACGAATTATTCGTAAGCTTGGCCACACAAGCTAGTGACCAATATGGAGGCACAGGATTCACAGGGAGGCTTGGAACTAGTGGATTCTAGGAGTATTAGGCACCAAGGAGACATTATGCGGGAGTCGTAAGTGAAAAAGCGTGGCGAATGTAAACATCTCAACCTCAGTACTTGATAGGGGAGTGATTGAGGGATTCTTTACATATGGCAGTACGCGCGCGTCTGGTACACAACAGCAGTCGCCATGGACGGCACTTTTTCGTTCCTTGCTAATTGCGTTTCCCTAGGGCCTGCTCTGCCTGACATTGCCACCCTCCTCTCTGGGCATTGCTTGGAAAGTTGCTAGTTGTTATTGTTCAGGTGTCATCTAAACTCACTGCTGCAGTGACTGCTTGGATTGCTTAGAGGGCGTCGCTACGCGCACCCTAGCAGCTGTCCCTCTCTCCTTTTGTGTGGGGAACCCTGAGGGGTGTGAGCAAGGGACGAAACCATTCATTTGAAAATACCAAGTATATCTGTATATTAAGCTTGTCTTTAGTGTGGTGGAGGTAAGTGTCTCGCTACGGGCACCTTGGACGGAGGCATACAGCTGCCGCCCTCCCCTCGTAGGATTCCGATGAAAAGGAGCAAGACGGATAGGCGGAGGCATGAGAGTTGTTTCGCTTCTATAGGCACTCCGAGTGTTCATTTACACCGAGTTGATCATGCAAACAATCCGTAGCGCGCAGCAGGTACTGGGAAGCGATTTGTATCGTCCTAAGCGCAACAGCTCTACTCGGCAGCACATATCAGGCACGAGCAGCCCCCCAATCCATGAGCCATTCACTGTCTAATAAGCGATGAATCGAGCAGTACGCCAGGCCGATTGGCGCCGTTTTGCCGGCTACATGCGGCATGCATATCCCATGAGCATCCTGCACTCACCTCCCCAGTGTGTTTCATGGTACAAGAGGACCCTCCGTCTACCTGCGCACTGCAGGAGGAGTTGTCAAAGCTTGATACTGCTCTGCATGCATCTGCTCTTTAGAGAATGCAAAATTGTTGTGTTTGCAGTCATTGTTGTGGCCACAGCCCCGACAAAAAAAACACTTGGGTGTGACCTCGGGGCTGTAGCAGCCAGCCGTCGAGCTTGCGGGAACCTCTATATCGACGGTATTGGCTCTTTCCGGAGTGTTTGTAATGCCTTTATTTCCTTTTCCAGATGTCAAAAAGGAGCGCTGAATGGACAGCGCTGCCCAATCTTGTTGCTGAACGCGCTGCTGTTTCCCCCGGTGCTGCGCATGCGTCGTATATACACTGCCCCATGTCTTGTCACCAGGAGTAGCCCGTCTTGCTCTCGCGTTTGCGGCCACAGCAAACGCAGCGTCGGGTCTGTAACCCCCCGCTGAGCATCCCTAGCAGCCTTTCTTGCAGCAGCCTTTCTTTCAGCAGCCTTTCTTGCAGCAGCCTTGGTGGCGACGTGCTCGGGCAGACATCAGGGCTTTTTTCCTTTTGCCTAGTCTTTTCTCCCCTCGCTTTTAGCGCCTGTGCGCAATCGGAGGCCACAGCGTGCTGCTTTCTTCTTGGCAGTTGCCTCCAAGGGAGCTTTCGGGGTGATAGCCACGGGGCAGACAACGGCGAGGTGGCAGCCGGTAGGTAAGGCGGAAAGTCGCTGACATCGAGCGCGAGAAGCAGCAGCGAGCAGCAGCAGCGAGCAGCAGCAGCGAGCAGCAGCAGCGAGAAGCAGCAGGAGAAGCGGACCGGAAAAAGCCTCCTCCTCGACTCCGATCCTTGCTGCAGAAGATGGGGGTGCCTACCTTTTACAGGTGGCTCAGTTGTAGATATCCCAGAGTAGTCGTTGATGTGGGGCCTCACCATGCAGCCGATGCCGTGCGAGAGAGAGAGGAGGCTCTGCGGAAAGAGGAGGCGCAGAGAGAGGAAAAGAGGGGTGACGAGGAGATCAAGAGACTCGCCGAAGAACAAGGGCGATATGACTGTCTCTACCTGGACATGAATGGCATTATTCACCCTTGCTGTCACTCAGACGACGGAGTATGCCATAAAAGACACGCGAATGCTGCCTTAAACCGCTTGAACGATTTGCAGCGTAGATTTAACCTCCTCCAATTCTGTCGTTCTCTTGAGAAGTTTTGACGCGGATTTCCTTACGGGCGTCAACAGCTTCGTCCTTTCGCCGGTTCATTTCACGCTTCGATACTTCGTGCATCGCCATGCCATTGCCAGTATAGGGAGAAAGGGAGGCATTCTGGCAGTTCCACCAACGCTCTTTGTGATGCTGAAAGGCTGCATGCGTCAGTGATGGCGATGGCGTGCGGTGTGTGCAGCTGCATAGCGATACACTAGCCAGCATAGCGTGCTGGGCTTGCCTCTTTGTGTTTGCTTCGTGTCTTTTGAATCTGCCGAAAGCCTTGCCTGCACCGTCGCTCGTTCGCTTGCCTAGTGATTTCCCCTTGCCTCTGCGACGTCCTACATGTGCAGCTAAGCCCTCCCAGCGAAGATGATATGTTTAAGGCCATCTTTTTGTACGTTGATCGGCTAGTCGAGATCGTGCAGCCGAGGCTTCTGCTATACTTGGCGATCGGTAAGCAGTGGGTGGGTGAGAAGAGACACGGGGCATGAGAGATATAGAGAGAGAGGCACTTTTACTGAGAGAGAGAGGCACTTTTGTTGAGAGAGAGGCACTTTTACTGAGAGAGAGAGGCACTTTTACTGAGAGAGAGAGGCACTTTTACTGAGAGAGAGGCACTTTTACTGAGAGAGAGAGGCACTCCAACTGAGAGAGAGAGAGGCAGTCCAACTGAGAGAGAGAGACACTTTTACTGAGAAAGACACTTCGACTGAAAAAGACACTTTGACTGAGAGAGGGTTGTTTGGCAAGGGTGGGGTGGGTGGAAGGGGAGCAAGGCACGGGTCAGGTAGGGGTGTATATACGGCAGGTGGGAGAAGGGGGCTTATTATGGAAGCAAAGCGTAGCAGCGATGGCAGACTTCTGCACGTGTTTGCATCATGGCGATTACTCTGCGAAGGCTGACACATCGCCTCATTGCGTGTGGCGATTTGTGCATGGACGAGGATTGCGTAGATTTGCATGCAGAGCAGCGGAAATGGCGTGGGGAGGCGAGGCAGCCTACGCGGCAGTGCTTGAGGGAGGGAGGATATGTGCTTTCTTGGTCTTTTTACACGGCTAGCTACTGCGAAATCCTCTTCACATATGTCTGCTATATGCTTCGGTGCATCTCTGTAGCTCTACATAGCTATCCATCTTTACATACGGACAGAGGGGCATATACACATACACACACATATACATATACTCACATACATACATACACATATATACATACACATATACACATGCATACATACACATATATACATACACACACATGCACACACATACACATACGCATATATACATGCACATACATGCACATACACATATACATATACACATACATACATACACATTTACATATACACGTACATACACATATAAACATACACCCACACACACATACATATACATACACATATATTCACGGAGTGCAAAAAGGAGAAGGGAGGAAGAATGCATGCTTTTTTCTGTGTGCATAACTGGAGCTGTCTCTGCTTGTGGATGCCACTGCCTGCCTTCGCACACACTGACGGGGTGTGCTAGGGGGCTTCTCGTTTTTCTTGCGCATGCAGATGGGGTGGCTCCACGCGCGAAAATGAATCAGCAGCGGATTCGCCGCTTTAAGGCGGCTAAGGACATAGAGGAGGAGCAGGAAGCCTATGAGGCTCTCAAGCAGCAGTTTATTGAGGAAGGGAGGGCAGTGCCTAATCCCAAGCAAAAGTGGGATAGTAACTGCATTACACCTGGAACGCCTTTTATGGATAGGCTGGCGAGGTCTCTTAGGTGAGCGAAGCGATTCATTGTTCGTAGTGTGTTGACGCTGTACCTGCCTGGCGCTCTCTTGTGCCAGTTCTTAGCATCCTCTAGTTGCGGCAGCCACACGGGTGCATGTGCATGTGCATGCACATGCACATGCACATGCACATGCGTCACGCGCCTGTCCTGTGCTCGAGAGGCACTAAAAAAGCTTTTTTGTCGGGCTGCTGCCTATTTGCGCTTCCGTCTCCTTGCTTTTCCGATCTTCTTCTGTGCAATATGCGACAGCACTTGAATGAGAGTCCGCCTCCGCTGCGGCTCTGCATGGTCGCCCGTGTAGTGGACTGCTCTGTGGTGTCTGTGTTAGCCACTGTGCCTTTTTCTTCCGCTGTCAGGTACTATATAGCGGATCGGCTGGCGAGCCACCCGCTCTTCAGAAACCTGCAAGTTGTATTTTCGGATGCAAACGTTCCAGGGGAAGGCGAACACAAAATCGTCGAGTTTATTCGAGAGCAGCGAAAGCTGTCACAGTAGGTCTAAGGGAAGAGGAGGGATGCGGCTAGAGGAGAGAGGAGGAAAAGCGGGGAGAAGGAAAGGGGGGTTGGGAGGAAGGGGCGATTCAGCTGGTGCCTCGCTTCGACAGGTAGGGAGACTTTGGCAGCGGCCACTCAACTCGAGACAGGGACGAATGCGGCGAGGCAGTCAAGGCAGGTGTGCTGCATTTTTTTCTGTGAGCATCCATGTGCTGCAGCTATCCGCCGAACTTGCGGCACGTGTTGCATGGCGCAGATGCCGACTTGATCATGCTGGGGCTTGCTACGCATGAGGCGCACTTTTTTATTTTGAGAGAAGCCGTGATTGAAAGGCCACCACCTCCGAAAGAGGGACTGCTCGATGCTGCAGCGGCGGAGGGGGCAGCTGCAGGAGAGACGGTGGTTCACAAGAGGGAACGGGAAGACTTCGAGGAAGCCGAGGAAGCGATGAAGAGGGAGCTGGAAGTGAAGGCTTCGTGGAAGCCTCTACAGATGATCCAGCTACCCGTCTTGAGAGAATACATTCAGCATGAGCTCTGCGACAACGTCCGCGCAAGCACGGCTTTACTCGCCTCCTGCACCTGCCCTTGTGCCTCCTCATCCACGTCTGCATGTTTTGCACACATTAAAATAAGATGCAAAGAATACGTGTACATGTGGATCTATCTGCATGCATTTATCTGCATGTATTAAGATGCAGATGTCTAGATGTGTATGGCGCTCGGTCGTCTCGTCGGCTTTGCAAAGGGGCTGCGTGCTGCAAGGCCTGACTTTTTCGAGTCAAGAAATTTGTATGGCTATGTACGACCCTCTGTGTTTCTGGATCCCATGGGCTGGGGTGTCTGCCTGCCTTATTGACCGTGCCCCTCTTCAGCTGCGTGTCTCTCTGTGCATTTTACTCTGGCATGTAGACGATGAGAAGGTGTCTTTTTTCGCTGCACGCCAAAGAGTCCGATGCCGTTCGCAGTGTGCCTGCCTCGCGCCTGCCGCTTGTTCTTGGGGGCATCAATCTGTTAGAGGCCTTTCTTTAATTGAAAACGCGTCTTTTCGCAGCCTCTTTAAGCAGGAGGAGTGGCGAATCCTTAGTGCGCCGGCCACCTTCCTCCGACCCTTTAGGTCTCTTGTTGAATGTGCTTCCGTCTATTTTCTCAGGGACGGTACAACGCGGAGAGGGTGATAGACGACTTTGTCTTTTTGTGCTTTCTTTGTGGGAACGATTTCCTGCCCCATCTTCCCCACCAGTCGATCCAGAGAGGCAGCATTGACAGTCTCCTTGAGGTGTATGTACACCTCAGACCGCACGTCCTGACAGGCTACCTGACCGACGGAGGCCGTGTGGATCTGAAAAACTTGGAAGCCTTCTTGTGCGCTTTCGCGAAAGTGGAGGACGAGCTTATTAAACGGGAACTTACACGAAAGGTGAGCTTTACTCATGGGAAGGATTGCACCTGCATGCAGGAGGAAGCTGAGTACAACTTGCAAGGGCCGCATCCCTCTTGTGCTTGCGGATGCAGTCTTGCCCCAGAGGCCGCCGGCTGTATCAGAAACGCGGAATAGACCACTGAGGCTGCTGCTGGTTGTGAAATATGCGCTGCTTGTTGGCTCTCTCTCTCAGGAGAGGCTGCGGGAGAAACACGCCTTTGAGCAGCAGAAGCTCCTAGGAGCCGCAGGGGCTTTAGAGGAGAGGCACATCCAGCAACAGCCTCACTGGCAGAAACAGGAAACACATCCAGCAGGGAAGGAAATACAGCCAAGGCGTGAGGGTTTGCCCTCCAACGAAGAAGTTGCACGGCGTCTCAAGATGCAGCTGCTGGGCGAAGAGGTCTCGGGAGAGCTCTCCTCCGCCCATGTCGAGGATGCGTCGAAAGAGGATGCATCCCGCAAGGCTGATGCTGCTGCGTCGCCTCCTCCCTCCGCTTCTACGGAGGCAGAAGACGCAGCAGGAGCACCATCGGCTGCATCTCTGGCTTCAGCAGGCACCGCAGCGCATCTCGTAGATGCGGACTCTGCGCCTCTAGCGAAGCGCATGAAGAATCCTGAGGGGGCTGCCAAGGGCGTGGCTTCTCGCAGTCGGTGGGAGGAGGATGTTGATTTGTTCAAGGCACGCATGCAGGCAGCGCTGAGCGGCTGTCGTGAGGTAGACATGCATGCGCTGCTGCATGAGGGTGTCGACAGTGGTGTGGGGTGCAGGACGCGAGATAGGTGGCGTGTGGAATACTATCAGGAGAAGTTTCACTTGGGCGCTCTGGAGGAGGTCGCTCCCTTTGCTGCTTCCGTGTCTGAGGTGTACATTAGAGGCCTCCAGTGGGTTTTGCTCTATTACTTTGAGGGGTGCAGCAGTTTTGATTGGTTTTTTCCGTTCCATTACGCACCACTCGCCGTGGATGTGTGGGAAGCGGTCAGACTCATCAACAGCAGGAAGGCGCAGCGGAAGCGGCAGTTGGCTGCCGAAGGACGGGATGAGGAGGCACTAGAAGGAGCTAAGGTGAGGCAGGGAGCGTATCGAAGGGAGTCATCGTCTTCGCGAGGAGGGACGGGAGAAAAGCGAGGAGGTGAAGGGCGATCAAGGGGTGGTTTTTGCTTCTTGTCTTGCAGCACTCGTTATGTGTGGGGGGGAAGGCTGCAGGGGCAGGATGGGGAGTATTGCTGCTCTCTCCTTGTTGACGCATGCGAGGCGAGGGCAGAAGCCGCAGCATTTGTACTTTGTGCATGCGTCTGGTTATATACTTTAGGACTTGTTTCCCCCTTCGCGCCCTCTGAAGCCTGTCGAGCAGCTGATGGCCGTTCTGCCCCCCTTCAGCGCGAACTGCTTGCCGGAGGCGCATGCGAAGACGATGCTATCGCCCCTTTCTTCCATTGCAGACTTCTACCCAACGAAATGCAAATACGATCCTAACGGAAAGAGGTGGGGTGTGCGCTGCGTTTGCCGAGTTGCCGCTGCTGCTGCTGCAGCCGCAGTGTATGCCCTTCCCTTGGTCACCTCTCCGCGGCTTAGGCAGACATAGGCCTTGCCGCGCAAGCGCCTGCCTCATCGTGGCGTGCGAAGGTGCAGTGCGGGGGGAGAAGCCTCAACATTTCTTCTATGTACTACCCTCCCCAGCAGTATTGGCGACGATTACTGATTGGCATGCCGCCCTGAGGAGCGCGCTGCGTCTGTCTTTTCAAGGTACCAGTGGCAGTGGGTCGTCTTGCTTCCCTTCATTGACAAGCGACGCTTGCTTGCCGTTTCAAAGCAACTGGAGAAGACGCTTTCTCCGGAAGAGCAGCGCCGCAATCGCCTCTCGGAGGCTGAGATGCATGTGCATGAGAGCCATCCTCTTGCCGCAGAGATGCAGCAACTGACTGCAGCACGAGGACGCGGTCTAAGACTTGATGAGGAGCCAGAGTGGCAGCAGACGGAAGATGAGAGAAAACTTCCTCGAGGCGTAGTAGGCGAAGGACACATCATGATCGCAGATTCCAGTGGAGGCTTTGGAGGACGGCTTTTCTGCATCGAAAGCGCCTATACACCTGGCATGCGAATTGACAGTCCTGTTGGTAAGCTGCCGTAGCAGGCGAACTTTCCGAGAGGCAATCTGCGTCTTGCTACGCGTGCTGCTCTTCCCTAGACCTCATGCGTCTGACCCCTCTGTCTACCCCTGCATGCGCTCATCCACGCTGCTAGAAGCATGTATTCTTTCCCTGCTTTCGTGTACTTCACCACACTACCGTTTTGGCGCCAATTTACTCGTCCACCTACATAGGGATGACCGCCTTTTGGAACGCCCTGCGGGGATTTTTTGAGAGAATTTCCGTTTACACGGATGCATTCGTTGGCTTTTGCTGTATGTACATATATATATGTATATCAATATACATATATATGTATAGATAGGTGTATATATTTGTCTTTCTCGGCACCACGCTGTAGATGCCTCCCACTCGAATTTCACGTGTTGTCAGCGGGTGTCTCCGGCTGGGAGTCGTCAACGAGCGCTACCTCCGCCTATCCGGCGATTGCTTACTTGTGGATGTGTGGTTTTATTTAATACATTTAAAAATAGAGGTTGCATGTGCGCTGGTCTCTGTGTGACTGCTGCAGAGGGTCTTTCCGCGGTGTGCTGTGCTTCGCGGTGCTGCTATATATCCCCTCCACGTATCCCGCTGTCTCGGCATCTTTCGAGCCTCCTTCCTGGCGCTGTTAGCCTGGGCCCTTTCCTGGATAAGTATGATTTGGAGGTGGGGTGTGGCCCTTAGAGCAGTTACGCTTCTTAGGCGGGAGGCGCTGTGCTGAGCAGGGAGTTGCCGGTTTGCAGTTCCTGCCCCCCCTGCAGCACCGCGGTTGTGTGTCTGAGCGTGTTTGCACACCAACGACGTATCCCTTGCTGCACTTCTTCTGCTGCAGCATGCCTGCAGCCAGCCGTGTCAGTGGTGCGTGCAATGGCTGCTGCAGGACGAGTCTCGAAAGGGCAGGGCTTTTAATGGAGCAGCAGCTCGCCGCATGGTCGCCTTCGCGCTGGGGGGGGTGGCGCGACAGCAGCCTCAGCAGCAACAACAACCGCAACACGGGTGGGACGGCACCTCTGACGGCGGAAGCCGCTCTCAGAATAGGGGGGGGCCCCCCTGTGTGATCAGCAACCACCAGCGGCAGCAGCAGCAGCAGCAGCAGCAGCAGTTGCTGCATATGCAGCACTTCAGGGGGCATCTGCCCCCGCAGCTGTGGAGGCATCCCTATGGGACTGCGTCTGCTCCTGGCGTGCCTGTAGTACAGTCCGCTGCCTTTGCAGCTGCTGCCGCTGCTGCCCCTCAGCATATCATTCCGGTGGCTGTGCGACTTCAGCAGCAACTGAATCCCAGGGGGGGCCCCTTCCAGGGCGGTCAGGCGCACGCGGGGGGGCCCCCGATGTACAATCAGGGCACCAGATGGGATGCACAGGTGTCTGGAGGTGGTGCCTCGCATGCACCGTGGGGTGGTGCGTCTGAGTACCGAAGTGGGCCTCCAGGGGGCCCTCCGCATCCCCCTCGAGACCCCAGAGCGAGGCGTCTTCAGCCGGGGGGCCCCCACTTGGGGGCCCCCTGGCACGCGGGCCCTCAGCAGCAGGGGCCCCCGCAGTACGGAGGGTACGGAGCGCGGGCCCCGCCCCCGCCGTGGAGTACCCGTGGGGCGGGGGCCCAGCAGCAGCAGCAGCAGCAGAGGGGGGGCGATAACAGCGGCTTCGTTGATATGACGTTCAAAGGGAAGTACAGCTGAGGCGAAACTAGTTTGAGTGGGGGTGTCTCCTGGCTGCAGACCTCATCTGGTGGCTACCACAGGGCCCTCTTTCTGTATGTATGCTTGAAAGGGGGGGCGGGGGGGGCCTCTTCTTGAGGGCAGTAGGCAAGAAGTGCAGTTTGGGGGGTTTGTGTTTCCCTGAAATTTATTTCCTTAGATCACAGGAGCAGAAACTAAGCGCCCTGTGGTCGCGCAATGTACTTTTAACGAATATAGACACGCGACGGCACACCGCGCGAGTCCGCGTATGCGGCTGCAACAGCATGGAAAAAGGGTCACACAAATAATATGGGGGAAAACAGCCGAGAGTGGCGCTAAGGGAGTCAGAGAACGCAAAGAGACGCAAGGGGCAGAGAAGAGGACGGAACAGAAGATGAAGAGAGGGACGGCAGCGAGGTAGAAAGCAGAGCAGCGTATACACGGAAGATGCGTGAAGTAGGGGCCGATACTCGAGAAAATTCAGAGACAGCCTATAAAGGCAGGAGCGTGAGACGTTGAAAGTGCTATTGGGGATTTTTTTTTGTTCGCGTCTGTCCTTTTAAAGGAGGCTTCTGATGGTCCTCGGTAAATTTCCGGAGTGCCATTTTAAAACTACGGAATTCGACGGAGACGTTAGACAGCTTGGGTAGCTAGCTTTAGTCCTCTAGCTTATTCTGCTAGCTGTCGTGTTGCCAATATTCAGAGAATGCTGCTGCCCAGAGTGCAGTTACTGGCTTGGCTGCTGTTGTGCTGCATCTGCAACTAGCGAAGCATCTCAGTTTTCTTGGAAGTAGGACTCCAAGTTGTGCGTGCGTTGTAAATGGTTTTTTTGAGTGTATGTGGGAAGGGAGACAGCATGCTAGGCATCTTCTAGCTGTGCCTCGCCGTTCTTCTGGTGCCAACTCCCAGGCCGCTCCAACCCTCCCCTTCGGGCACATGGAATAGGACAAGATTCTTTTTCTGAGCTAGCAGCAGTTGTACACTCAGAAGGTCTGGTTAGTCGGTTACTCAGCATGGCAGCGAAGTACTAGACGAGCGGTGAGATTTGGTGCCAAGCATGAAGGGGCAGTTCATGTGAGCGGCGTGCGCTGCCTATCGTAGCTGGGTGGGGATAGTCGCTGGCAGCTGTGGGGGTCTCACGTAAACCTCGGTACAAGTTTCTAGTTGCTTGCTCACTCTGTGCATATATCTACTCTTAGCTAGCTGCTCACTCTAGGTATATATCTACAGCTACCTAGCTGCTCACTCTAGGTATGTATCTGCACTTAGCTAGCTGCTCACTCTGTGCGTTTCTACGCCTAGGGGTATTCTTAACGTACCTTTGACCCTCTGTAGCAGGCTCAGCTGAGCTTGGGTAGTTATTGCTCCACGGATTATATTTTACGTGGGAACGGGTAATGAATGCATTGATTATTTGGTGTGGCTGTTCATGACTCTCCTTCACTGCAGAATAGCGTTAGCTCAATACATCAAGAATCAGCTTTCTCTGTGTGTGCACTAGGTGCTCTGTTGATGTAGTTGTGAAGGCTCGGAGTGCAACGATGGCCCAGTAACACCCACCTCGACTGTCCTACTTCCCTCGGGTCAGAAGCACTTAGGGGAGGCAGTAAGGGGAAATACTGGCACCTTTTTGAGGAAAAACACTAAAAGTTTTGTCGCTTTTAAATTGAGCCTGCAGGGAAGTGTCTTCCTAGGGAGACCGTCGAGGGAACGTTCCACGACCTGCGAGTAGCCGCGTGCTATTCCCCAGTGTAGACCGCCTCTGTCTTTCCTCAAGAAATGCGAAACACTCACCAATCCGGAACGATGTTCGCAGTCACCCTGAACCTTCATGGCTGAGGCGTCCAGCTTTTCCCTCTTGTGCTTGTGGCCATACCGCAGTAAGGCCCCAAGGGAAAGGGGGGCAGCAGCCGCGCAGCTAGCTATGCCAGTAGATTGATTTAACCACCCCCACCCACAGTTTAGCAGTCAGCTCAATAGGTGAGCCCCGTAGCTCGCTGTTACAAAGAGCCAAAAGTTTCCCACAGAGGGTTCAACATGTTGGTGGAGTATCAAAGTAGCAACATTTCCTCTTTCGGCACCTTTTTGCATATTTAAGGATGGAACGCCTCGCATTCCGTTAAGTGTGTATAACAATGGCGTAGCTCTAGGCATACAGAAATGAACCGCTCTCTCAAAGGAGATTCGGTAGCGCTGGTTGGAATCTGCACATGCGTTTGGACAAGCATGAAATATACAGAAAGTGACAGCTGTACGCTTTGCTGATGGTCCATTTGTAGCATTCTTAAGGACCAGTGATCTATCAGCAGCGCAATTACAGCCCAAGCTGTCTTTCAAAGTTTGCTCGTGGTCTTCTCTAGGGTGCCTTCTCCTGCACGCGTCGCATTTCACGGTATGGTAGCCCAAAAACTTCACAATTTTAGGGGCTAACTACGCAGCTCGACATAATTTCCGGGGAGAGCAGGGAAGAAATACGTGTGTGCAAGTGTGTGCCTGGAAGTTTCTGGCTGTGCGATGTCGCAGAGCACACGGTTTCCCTACGCTATCTGGCATGCTTCTGCCTGTTATTTATGACTGAAGATCCTCAACAGGCCTCTTAGGCTTCTTTTAGAGATGAAACACCCCTAAGGGACCAAAAGTCAAGCCACCTCCCCCAGTTGCACACTTCCTTCTGACCACCCCCAACCAGCCCCTAAACCTCTTGCTCGACGGGTGTCTTTGAGGACCATTGATTAACGCATGTGTTTCCCAGGTCTGCAGGCAGCAGCCAGACAGGCGAATATCGCTATTGAACACATTTTTGAATGTCTTGCACTACCGCGAGGCACACAAAAGGCTGCTGTGGACGCCCAGCGAATCGTGGTGGGGTCGTTGTGCCCTGTGTCTGCAACACACTGTCTTTGATCTTTTGAGTTCTTCTCCCCCCTTATCTTCTTGATTTCCCCTTCTATTCACTATCTGCTGAGAATCCCTTCTGCCTAGCCGCTCTCTAGGACGCCAGGCGCAGGCACTACCTCACAGCGGCCGACACACCAGCAGTACAAACAACAGGAGCAACATTAGCATTCCGATCCCGAGTGTTGCTTGTTACTGCCGCGCACTATTGACTCTGTTATTCCTCTGTGCACTTGCGGCACTAACAACCTGCAAGATACCATCTCCACAGGTGCACCAGCATACGCCCCTGCACATAATACATTCCCACCTTCCTGCAATTTTATCCATTCCATCCATGCGCTCACTGCCCACATTGCAGACATCCATACACCCATAGATTACATACATACAAGCAGACATCATCCGTTTATGCATACATTATGTACCTGCATGCAGACATTCACCCATACATAGAGATGCAGACATTCATACGTCCCTACTTGCCGACCTACTTTTCCGCGTATCTTTCCACCTGAACTCATATATATTTATGTTTACATGAAGGCCTAGCTACACACATGCCTAGAGACCAACGTAGCTAGATACAAGCCTCCAAACTCACGGTCTCCTAGCCATCGAGTTGCGGTGGTACCCTTTCCGCCAAGTGTCACGACACCTACGAATGTCGCGAGGAAGAGAGCAGCATTGCGCTGTTGTGTCACTTCCTAGGCATTAATTTGTGTCTCTGTCTCTCTCTCTGCTCCTCCCTGTTTTGAAATGAGTGCTTCGTTCTCTGCGGAACAGGCTGCATGCAGTTCGATCCTTAGGGAGCCTTTGGGTGTCTCTGCAGAGGTTCCCGGCGGCTCCACCCCCCCTCTCGTCTTTGCCGTCCTTCTTCCCCGTGACGCTCTCCACTTCCTTCGGAAAAAAGCGTGGACAGAACCGCAGCTGCTGCAGCTGCAGCAGCTGCAGCTGCGGCTGCTGCTGCTGCAGCGAGGGCAGTGCCTTCCCTCTTCCCCTCCTGCTCTCTGCAGCGCTGTATCTGCATCTGCTGCATCTGCACCTGCCGCATCTGCTGCTGCTCCGACATGCGGCTTAGCACCTGCTGCTGGAGGAGCTGCAGAGGGAGTGGCAGGATCAACGGGTGTGGCACTCAGTCCCGGAGGCAGAAGCAGCAAAGGCATCTGTGACAACAGTGCGACAGCAAACAAGCAGCAGCAGCAGCAGTTTGGTGAGCACACAACACAATGAAGCGTTCCCCAGAAGACGACCCTCTGGCTTTCCTCGCCAGGAGGAAGAAATCGAGACAAAATCCATCGACCGCTACTGCTGCCAACCACAGCAGCAGCAACAGAGTGGGAAGAGGACGAGACTCTTCTTCCCTGAGGCGAGACAGCGTTGCCTCCGCAGCTTCTTCCATCCCCTTCACGGAGAGGCGGAGACGCCGTCCAAGCGAGAACGACTCACTCGAGGGAGTCACCAGCAGTCAGACTGCAGCAGCAGCAGCGGGGAGAAGTTCAGGGGATGCTGTGCGTCGTAGCATACCCAGTAGCAGCCAAGCCTCCTTCCCGTCTGTCTCCCAAGGGGGAACTGGAGATGTCAGACCTTCTTCTCTTGGCACATTCATCGACGGTGGAAGCCATCCCCAGGGATCCCCTGAATTCACGTCTAACCCCTCGCCGTCGCATCCGTTTGATTCGTCTGTTGCGTTGCCTCCCCTTCCTTCAAGAGACGCCTCTCGTTGTATTCTGCTGGCTGCTCAGCTTCCCACTGTACGGCACACCGAGCGTTGCTGCTGCCTGCTGCTGCTAGCCCTCCACTGTCTCTTTGCGTCGCTGCTAGCGAGCAGCAACAAAGCAGTGCAGACTCGAAATGCGAAGGAACACGCGTGTCGCAAGGGGCAAGTCTATCGCTCTCTCTTCATCTCTCTCTGTGCTTGTGTTTGTGTACTTGTCTGCACTCGCTCGCTGCAGAGGGCAAGGCTGTCTCTAGCGGGAGTCGGTGGCGGTATGGCTGCAGACGCAGAATTGATTGAAGCACTTGAAGATCTCTTGGATGTAGGCTCTCTGGCTTGGCTGCTGCTGCAGCGTGTGGGGACTAAACATGGCCTTAGGGTTCCTCTTCGTTTTGCGAAAGGCTGGGAGGGAGGGAAGAGGGGGGGAAGGAGGGGAAAAAAGGGAGAAAAAGGAGGGGGAAAACGTCTGCAAATGCAGCGAGGAAGAGCGAGACAAGGGAAGACATGGGCTGAGCGTAGTGTGGGCAAAAGTGTGAGGCGGTGGCATCTGCACCAGTTATGTTCTGCTGGCTTGCATTTGCTCGTGTATGTATGTGTATGTATGTGTGTGTATGTGTATGTATGTGTATGTGTGTGTATGTTTATGTGTGTATGTATGTATGTATGTGTATGTATGTATGTGTGTGTATGTGTATGTATGTATGTATGTGTATGTATGTGTGTATATGTATGTGTGTGTATGTGTGTGTATGCGTATGTATGTGTGTGTATGTATGTGTGTATGTTTACGTGTGTGTATGTATGTGTATGTGTATGCATGTATATGTATGTGTATGTATGTGTATGTATGTGTATGTATGTGTGTGTATGTGTATGTATGTGTATGTCTGTATGTATGTATGTATGTGTATGTATGTATGTATGTATGTATATGTATGTGTATATGTATGTATGTATGTATATGTGTGTATGTGTGTATGTGTGTGTATGTGTATGTGTGTGTATGTTTATGTGTGTATGTATGTATGTATGTGTGTATGTGTATGTATGTATGGATGTATATGTATGTGTGTGTATGTATGTATATGTATGTGTATGTGTATGTATGTATATGTATGTGTGTGTATGCGCATGTATGTATGTGTATGTATGTGTATGTCTGTATGTTTGTATGTCTGTATGTTTGTATGTATGTATGTGTATGTATGTATGTGTATGTGTGTATGTATATGTATGTGTGTATGTATATGTATGTGTGTATGTATTTATGTGTATGTATCTACGTGTATGTATGTATGTGTATATATGTATGTGTGAATATGTATGTGTGAATATGTATGTATGTGTATGTATATCTCTATGAATGTGTGTTTGTGTGGTGCTGCAGCGGAAGTTGGCGCAGGCACGAACCCTCCCGGGTGTACAGGGAGATCTGTACGAAGCGTGTGGCGAGCGCCTGCGGCAGCTGCTGCTGCTGTTGTTTGAAGCTGATCCTCAGAGCAGTCGACAAGGGAGTATTCTTGGGAATCGTTTAGGCTTGGGGACTGCTGAAACTCCCCCGCTGCTGGCAGTCCCTTTCGCGTCTATTCGCGGCGATGCTGCTGCGGTGCAGGCGGGGGCAGACACTGCAGCAGCGAAGACGGCAGCAGCAGCTGCTGTAGCCGCGGCTGCCGTCGCTGCTCCCGCTGCCAGCGAGGGGAGAGTCATGCAGCTGCAGCACCAAGACATCGCGGAGGCAGCCCTTGTCTCGAGAGAGGCTGCCAGAGCACTTCTGCAGGAGATGCAGCAGCAGGCAGATGACTTGGTGGAAATCTGGCCGCTTAGAAGGTAGTGCAGCAGCAGCGTTCACGCTTTCAAGTCGGGCAGAGAAGCCTTTGCTAGAGCGTTTTTCATGAGCTGTTTCAGCTGTTCCTCTACACGCCATGCAGAGGGACGGGGGGCAGAGGATGGCAGGTTTCGACAATTGCGGCTTTGCAAGGTTTTTTCTTTTTTTTCGAATTTCTCGCGTCGACTGCCTGGCTGTATGTGTGCATCTTACTGAGCATCTATCTACGAATGTGTGTATGTACCCATCTATATTTATATAGTGTAGTGTACACATGCATGTGTGTACATATATGTGTATATTTGTGTGCATATATATATATATATGTGTGTGTGTGTGCGATTGTGTGCTTGTAGGAGCGTGGTGTTTCTCTCTCGCCCACAGGATTCTGTATCCTTCTGTCTCGACGCCTTCTTGCTGCACAGGGCCTCTTCTGTGCATATGGTGCCTTGTCTCCTCTCGAGTTCGCTTCCGCCTCTCGATCTGTTGGAAACAGACGGACTGCAAACTCCAGAAGCCACGGCGGGAGAGATTCTTTGGCTGCCTCTCTGGTGCGCCGAAGTGCTCAGCAGACAGCGTCTCATTCGCGTGATGCTCCCTCCCTTTCTTCACGCCGGTAAGATTGGAGAAGAGCTGCGTAAAGAGACGGACTGCGGGAGGGATGCAAAGTGAAACCAAGGCACTTGGCGAAGGTTTTCTCCGGCTTTTAGCATAGGAGCTCGTGACAGGGGTGTCTGTCTCGATGGGGAGAGGGGGAGAGAGGGGGGTTGCGTCTTTATGTTTCTTTGCGGTGCTGCTCGTCCTGAGGCATGCGATGATGAGGGGGAAGAAGGCGAAGGGGACGGCGGAGAGATTGGGGGAAATAGTGGGGAAAGGGTGATTTTTGCTCTCTCGTTGATTGATCAACTCGCCCTTCTCCATAAGCACCCGGGGAGAAAATGAAGGGTCGTTCAGCCTCGCTCCGTCCGTAGCACCATCTCTGATTATAGAGGCTCCATGGATTTTCCTCCTTTTGTTTCTAGTTTACGACGTGTTCTTCAACGCGTGTTTCCTTAAAATTGGATGTGCGGTGTTGATACACTGCGGAGGGGATGTGCTCCGGGGCAGGTGCACGACGCCACGCAACTGTCGGCATCCCTTTGAGCCAGCTGCGCAGCTGCTTGTGCCTCGAATTTCCATCCTCCCCAAAAGTGGATGGCTGGACGGGAGATAGATTCAGAACGCAAATATGACAAGATCCACGATACGACTTCAGCCATATTCGGGTGCCTGCTGTTTCACAGACCAAGTAAAGGGCTACTTACGGCAAGAAGAAAGACACAAACAGGGCCTTGAGCCGCTTCCTGTGTTTTTCTTTGAGACTGCGAGGCTCCTCCTTTTCAATCCGCTGTGAGAGCTTCCGTTTTCCTACTGCGCATTTGCTTGTGGTGCTGTGCTGGGGGTATTTTGCTGCTCCGAAGAAGGGGCACCAGCTCGGAAGACGTGTCTTTTTCTCTCCAGCTTGTGAGGTGTCTATACACTGTGGATGCTGCTGTGTGCTGGCTGGCTGCAGCGTGCAGCCTCTTGGAACAGAAGCCCGTTGGCAGAAGGAGAAGGGTACATGCTTGGCCTTCCTTCCTGCCTATTGTTGGTTGAGATGCTAGTTGATTCATGCCTGCTTTTCTTTGCTAGTCTTTACCGGCTGAGCTGCGGTGCACTCCTGCCCGCCTTTTCCTTCGCTTCCCTCCTGCTTTCTTAAGATTGCATATGTCTTTGGCGCTAAGCATCTGGTCCTGCGGCGTTTCTGCTGAAGGATGTGTTTCGTGTCTGACTTGATGTGCGCGAACGTCTTTGCAGGCTTGGTGTTGCAGCTGTGGGATAGGCGGCAGGCTAAGATAGCAGCGAGTAGGGCAACATCGCAGTCGTCAGCCGCAGGAGAAAAAAAGCCTCTCCGCGGCTCTCAGGGAGAGCCTCCTGCAGCCGCGCTGTTGCCGCATGCACACGCATGACGACGTGTGGCTCTGTTGCGTAACTACTTGTGCATGCGCGCTGCTGTTGGGGTGTATCTACAGCTCTTTCTGCGGCGAATCTGGAGGATAAGCTGGTCCGTATGGACCACATCCAGCCGTCAGAAACATATATGCTGTAAGTTCTTATGAGTGCGTCATCTCGCTAGTCTTGGAGGTGCACTTTTATCCTGCGGGTGAATAAGCGATTTTTTGGAGTGTACGCACACCTGCTCCCAGCGCATGTTCCCACCACATCATGTGCAACTGCTGCAGGTCGCACATGCGGATGGAGGAGTGACCTTGAGCTTTGCTGTTTCGCATCAACGCGTATCTCCTGCAGCAACAGCAACAGCAGCAGCTGTTGCTCTTCCTGGAGGCCTATGGGGTCGTATCACCAGGCGGAAAGCAAGGCAGCGGCCGCCAAGCCGGCAGTTCGCTGCTGCTGCGACAGGGAGGCGTGCCTAGTACTTAATTCTCGTTTTTAAGGTTACATAGATTTGGCTACAATGAGGTATCCGCCACATGTTCTCATTTTTTTCGCATTCTGTAGATAGAGCAGCAGATGCCCCCAAAATAGCGGGCTGGCAGCGAGGCGATCGGGGGACGAGTGTCAGCCCTTGAACGGGCTGTGTAGTAGGTATTCAAAGGGCCTGCTAAGGCGGGAGACTTAGGGAAAGAGGCAGTGGTTGACGCAAAGACGGAAGGAAAACGGCTAGAAAGCATCCCCAGCAGCAGGCGGGAGGTTATGGGAAAAGGGGGGCAGAGCCACGGGGAAGAAGGGACATGGGTGCTTAGAAGCATAGTGAAGCACATTGAGTCTTTCCAAAGAAAAATGGGCAAATGAAGGTGCAGAGGGGGATGTGGCTGGCACAGCGTCCTATTGTCTATGGTTATACACAAATCTTACGCCTCCCTTCCCTCTCTCCCCCCACCCCCTCTACAGTTGCATGCAAGACTATGACGTGGCTTCAAATAGATAGCCTGCAGTTGCATGCAAGACTATGACGTGGCTTCAAATAGATAGCCTGCAGTTGCATGCAAGACTATGGCGTGGCTTCAAATAGATAGCCTTCTCTGCGGGGTCGCTGCCAAGGGGACCCTCCAACTTCGTACAGGGCGACGTTTTCGAGAGTATCAAGGCACCACTAGCGCGTAAAAACTTCCACGCTTAACGCTAAGGACCCTCGACGCCTCTCACGATTCCAATTCAATCGCGCTGCCCCCCTTCTGAAGATAGGAGGCTCCTGGGAAAACCTACCCGACACGCAGAGGAACACGTGCAACGAGAGGCACACACAAACGGACAAGGGGGCCACTGAGTCACAGACTGACGGGAAGAAGCACGAAAGTTGGGGCAGACAGACAGAGCGAGCCAGGGGAGAGCCATTTTAAAAAGGCGAGAGCGAGCTGGCAGTTGTCTTGTGTCGCAGTGAGGCGCCATGCCCCTCTGAGGGGAGCTCCTCGGAGTAGTCCATAAAGGCCAGAGGGTTGTGGCCACCCCAAGCCATTGAGGAACTTGTTGTGCTTGGAGATATACCCTTGCGGAGGCAAATTAGAAGCAGCGTTTTTCTTAACGTGCCCGAGGTTTCGCTGCCTGTTTTGCTGGTTGTAGCCCTTTACCCGTGTGCAATTGCTGTTGCGCTCCTCCCATCCTCGCCTCTCGGAGACATCCTATTTGCCATAACCCATTTAAAAACCTTATGAAATGTTATTCAACCTCCATTCAAAAGCTTTCCGCCCCCATATCTCTGCCCCCGTCCTCACCCCACAGAGTGCTGGGGTGAGCGGATCCGCTCAGCTCGAGTACCTTGGCGTTGATTTCCCTTTCAAGCAATTCGGGCACCCAGCGCATAGCAGCAAACACCTTGGATCTTTACTGTGTCACGCACACCCCGCTCTACGATAAACAGGATGTACAAACACAAAACTAAGGCCTTCATTCCTTGCCAACGCGCAAAGCCAATCCTGGGCAGTAGACGGTGCCGAGGTGTATGCAGCATTCCTCACTACAAACACCGCTAGGGGCTGTATTATTTGGGTCTGTAAAGTACGTGTTCTCTTGCGAGCTCCCTGTATGTGCATCGAATCGTTTGTGCGTGTACTATACGTGAATATTTTGTTGGGACTGCAAGGGAGTGCGCCTCGCCTTTCGGCACAACCTTTGGCCTTTCCCCCTTGTGGGGACCGGGAACCTCGATGAATAACGGCTAGGGAGACAGCCACCATTTTTGTTTGGACACGTCAGCCTGTGCCTTGGGGCTAGAAAGGCCTTTTGGTAGAAACACTCTGGGAAAAATAAGCGTCGAACGGGGTGGTTCTGACGAAGATGAGGCGTGGCGCCGCGCCTCGGTGCTCTGCCCAGAATATTTCATCGTCAAACGCGCACCACTTACAAAGTGCGCGTCCGAGGTGGCCATACACTGTAGAGCGTTACATGCGCTAACTGAACTGTGAGCTTCTGCGTCCACGGTGGCTTCCAGACTGCCCCGTGGTTCCGAGATTTGCCCGCAATCTTTGTGTATGAGGCAATTCGTACGCGAGTATTCGAGGTGCGAACAAACGAATCCCCCCTAGACGCCAACATCGGCGGATGGGAGGCATGGAGGATCCGTTTTCGCGGGGATCGCGCATTCCTGAGAGCGACATCGGTGCTCGGGGATGCCAATCCTTTGCCTTCTCCCCGTATGCGCCCTCTGTCGTGTCTTACAAGCCTCTTGAGTCCTCTCTAGAGCCATTTAATGCCACATTCTCCCACCGCAGGAGCCTGCCCACGGGCCTGTTGCGAGGCCGAGCCGCAGCTGCTACCGCATGCAGCGGTCACCCTAAACACAGCCCTAAACCTCTGCAGGAAGCCGCGAAGCTTCCGCCTTCAGAGCATCGTTCCTGATTTTCCTGTTTTCTGAACTTTACTCATGAACCGAGTGCCCCGATCGCCGGGCTGTCCATGCGTCGAAGGGGCTGAGACACACGACTGCTGAATCCGAGCAAGAACCATAACCCCTACTTCGCAAACTCAGC